TTGTTCTCTTTTTCCCTGTTGGTCATTGCTGTCTTGCCTTTATTTTCACACCCTTTGTGTGCTTAAAAAAGTACTGTATGCAACAGCAAAATTGCATTTGTAGAAAAGTAGCTAGGGAAAAAAAAACATAGAAAAGCATGAGATCTTTGAATTTACTGTGAATAGTTTTCACTGCCTTAATTTTCACAAGACTGCTCAGTATCTGGGGATCCACCTTAGTTTTCCTCCTGAGTTTAGTAGACATCTTTAAGGAGGTAAGTGGGAAAAATGGAAGAGCTCTTAGAATCTGCAGGGAAGGCAGAAAGTTAAGCAGTAATGAGCATCTTTCACTTCCTGTGTGGTTTGGTTTCTGTTCCTGCACCACATGGGTGCTAACATGATAAACATGATATGCCTATTTGAGTGATAGCCAGAAAACTGGGGAGGAAGATGACATGGGATAAAAATCATGTACTAAAGGATGTCTCCAGCCCAGACAAACACAGGCCAAAGTGTTGGATTAGAAGTTCCAAAATACTCTCTTTAGCAGTTGTAAAATGCATGTTGTGGTTACTTTGCTGCTTAATTGAAATAGATTTAATCTCATGCAACTCCAAGCCAGAGTTTGGGCCTAGAGATCACTCTTAAGATAGGCATTTCTTCTGTATACTCAGAGTATTTCAAGTAATGCAGGAGCTATGGGGCAAAGCCTATTACCATGTTTTCTATCTTTGGCATTGCATGTTTCCTAATCCATGCTATGAGCATTCGTTTCCAAGGTATTACCTAAAATGGCTTTGTGAAACAGTAGATGGAGTATCCGTCAATGAAACAGAGTAGGTTTCCTTGTAGAAACTAAGCGATAGATGTGAAAGAATGATCAATGGAAATGGGTACCATTTTCACAGATCTTTTGTCTGTTTAGCTAAATACGTTCTGCAATTGTAGTGGAAAGGAGGTGATCAAATAAATTTCAGAAGTTAAAAAAAAATCTGCCACCTGTGCATTTTAGTGTTTCAGAAGTGGACAGATAGAAACCAGAGTTGCAACATGCCACCTGTTTTTCAGCAACCAGTGTTATCAAAGAAGGGTAGCATGAAGAGTGGCAAAACCCCCCATTTTTGTTCATTAGCATTGGAAGAATCAAATTTTGAAAGTGCAAGCTTGAAAGGGATCATCTTTAACTTTGGTTTGTTCTTAGAGTGAATGTGGTGTGTTTGTCACCTTATAGCTTATTCCTTGTGTTTTCTATTCTAATGTTCTAAAACAGCAGGAAAGCGAGAGAAGATGATGAGGTTTGATTTTTTTTCCTTTTTTTTTTCTTTTTTGGTTTGTTTGGCTGTTTGTTTTTTGCTTACATCACAGCTTTTACCTGTGTGTTTAGAACTTGAACATAGATTTAACTTGCTGTTTGCTTAACTGTCTTTCTTCGATTTGCTTATAAAGTCTTGACTCAGACAGCTGGTGTTCTTATTACTGTGAAGAGATTAATTAACTTAGCACTGAAATACAAAAATAGTTAAATCTACTTTGAGCTAAGCTCCTAAGCTCTTTGAGGTGTGAAGATTGTTGTATCCTGTATAGAAGGGGTGGTTTTGGCTTCAGGTTCCTGTGATACAGACTGCTAGGAGATTGCAAAATGCGGAAATCAGAACTAAACTCCCCACTCTGCATCTAGAAATGCCATTATAAAAATATCCAGTATAACAGAATTAGGCCATTCAACAAGTAATCATGCATTCCATTCTACTTCTCACTAGCACATTGTTGCTAAAATACTTAGAAGCAAGCTGGTTTAAAGGCCAGTGTGTCCTGTAGTGGGTGGTGGTGTTTCTGGATACGTCTCTGCAATGTATTTTGGAGAGATATGTGGTTGCTTCTCCAAGTACTTCACTATGTTAATGTGCCACTAAGCTGGTGCTGGCAGATCCCACTTGTTAGCATGGATGTGGCACAGCAGGAGCAGTCGTGTGTCTATTTGTCCTTTCAGAGTGCAGGCAGAGCGAATAGGGGTCATCTTGGCCTGCAGCACTGTAGAGGCAAACATGGGTGTCCCTCAGTGCATTGCATCTGCCTCAGAGGAGGTGTCTGAGGGAAAACATTCTGATGACAGTTTTGGTCTTTCTCATGCTTATTGGTGATGTCGACAAAAGCATTAAGCTGACCAGCTGGGAAGGGATTCCCTACTAATGTAAACCCAAATAAAGCGAATAAACGGAGAGTTCAAAATGGATTTGCTGATACTAGCATGGTGCTAGAGCAGTATTCACTCCTCTCTAAAGCATGAGATGAATAGAAAGTAAGTAATGATTGTCTTAGCAGAGCTAAGGACTTCTTTTCATTGCGAATTACATGGCATAATCTCAGCCTATAGATAAGTTTAGGACTTGTGTCTGCTTGTAGAATCCTCTGCTGTAGAGGAACTGTTAGAGTTCATATCTTCAGAATTACATGAACACAAAGATGATTGTGGGTACTGTCACTTGTAAAATTTACATTTCTTGGCACAAGAAGAATGAAATTTTAGTCAAATTGAGTCATAAAATAAAACAATATCCAGCTACCCCAAAAGGTAGAGACATTTTAGAGCTGCATCTCTTCTTGAGGTTCTTGCAGAGCTAAAGCAGAACAGTAACCCTCTATTTTTTCCTGAGTAGTTTCATCTGTGGAACATAAGATGTTATGTGCTTGTGCATATAGTGCTGTGATAAATGAAATAACTGAAAAAATACTCAATTTCTTATTTTTTGCACAGCTCTCTGGTTCCATCCACTACACAGCCCCAAGGGTAGGTATTGAGAAAGAACTGGAACAGTGACACAGGAAAGAACTGCTTTGATTTGAATTGGTACTGAGGAAAACATCTACAAGCATGGCATAAATACCTCTGGTTTTAAATAGTGGCTCTGAATAGAAATGATAGTAGTTTTTAATCTAGAAAGAAAAGCTATGGGTGATAAAGGTTTGGGGAAGTCAGCTTCTTTCATAACATCTCATCCAGCCCTTCCCGTGTAAAATAGACTTTGTTTTGTCCTGTTTTATAAAGGTGAAAAAAACAAGATATATTTGAGTAGTTTTTCAGATCTGGTAATCACATGTTGGGATTTTCCTTGCCAAGTAAGAAAAAAAAATTATAAAGGCTTATTTTTATTTAAAAGCATAATTTGGACCATGGGGTAACATTACTTTGACAAAGTCAGGTTTAAGGGGTTTAATAATAATCCTAAAAAGGATGATCAGTGATTCTGTATCAATGTATTGTCAAATTCAAATGCAGTCTTCAGAGAGGTTATGTACTCCCCATTCTTTTACTGGGCTGGACTGGGCTCTTGAGTAACCAGATCTAGTGGAAAGTCCTCTGCCCATGGCAAGTTTGGAACTAGGAAGCTTCAGGCATATTGAAACTAGGGAAGTGATATTGATGGAACTTGAAACCATTTTAAATCCATTTGGTTTGCTTTTTCTGCACAAACTGCAAACAGTATAGGCTTTACAAAATGATCAGATTCTATAACTAATGATCCTGTTAGGCTGTCTTATCTAGTGATCTGTCAACATCATTCCTTTTCCTCTTTTTATCCAATGTCTCAAGAAAGAATTACTTTTCTTGAGTGCTTTGAGGTCACAGTTCTGCATGTTTTTAGGTTCTCCAGATTCAAGTGGGGATGCTGTACTGGTTTTTTCCTATTATAAAGAAAACAAACTATGAAAGATGAGATCAACAGTTCATACACCTGCAATGATATTTGAACACCTCACTTCTCACCTATCCATCTCCATCCAACGTGTTCTGTCACTGCAAATTTCTGAGCAATTGCAGATGTACATTTTTAAAAAGCCCCAAACAACCATTAGCAGCAGGAAAAAAGAATAAGCAAAGCAATTTCAGAATTTCTTCCTCCCAGTGTGGAATTTCCTTCCTGGAAACCCACACTGATAAAAACTCAGCTATCATCCACATCTGAGTGTCAATTCCATTAGATGTTAATAGTAGAGGCTCTAGTGTGAGAATCCTACAAGCTTGTAGCCTTGTGGTTTATATGACTTTTCTTTCAAAGGTGACTGTAAAAAGTGTGCTGTGGCTCATGTGCCTGAAATTGTCAACACAATTGACAATTGAGCTTGAAAGCTGATCCCGCAGGGAATGTCTTTTTGTGAATCACTGAAAAGGAAAGCAATGAAACTGTAAAATTTCAGTGGCAGCTATGATTCATAGTGTCTGATTAAAGCAGTGCAGGACATGTTGTGCAACAGTATGCAGACAGCTACTTTGATATGGAAATGCAAATAAATTACAAAGTATATTCCTAAAGCAATTTTCAGGAAGATTTTGAACACCAAAGTGAGTCAGACTTTGACTTTGAGGTTATTTTAATTATCTGTGAAGATGTTTTTTTTTGTGGATCATTATTTTGCAGTTTATTGCTTTCAAAAGTCAACCTCTTTTCTTTCCCTTCAGAGCTTAGTATTTCTATAAATGTGACCTTTTTTTCCTTCTGTTACTTTTCAGGAAAATATTTACAGTCTCTTTCCAGTGTTGAAATAGAAGCTGAGAAGCAGAAAACATGTTGGAAACAATTGGTAATTTTTTTTCATTTGTATCACAATATTTTTGTGGCCACATTGAGTGGGTGTGATAGATTTGGGATATGGGTGTATACTGCTGAAAGAGGTTTTGAAAAAAAATAATATACTGTGCTTAGAAGTGCTGTTGTGTTTGGGTTTTTGTATTTGAAAACAAAATTTGTACAACCATATGTTTAGTGTATTTGAATTTGAGCCTGTTGTCTTGATTTCATTGTTTTATTCTTTTCTTGAATTAAAAATTTGCATAGAAAAGAAAGATGTTTTCTATTATGACTATTTATGCCCCTATTTATTTGCAGTGGACTGTAGCCACAGTTCCCGTAACTGAATTTCAATTAAGGCTCTTTCATTTTGTAACCCACTTCTTGATGGACAAAAATACAATTTTCATTGGCTTCTGATTTATGCAGTCTAGAAACTGCTGCTGACTAGGAATGATTATTGCCACAGATACTCATCGGGCCCTCCAGGCCATGGAGCGCTTACAGACAAAACTTCGGGATCGAGGTGACATTGCAAATGAGGAGAAACTGAGCCTATTAAAATCAGTGCTGCAGAGTCCCCTTTTTAATCAAATTCTGAGCCTTCAGACTTCTGTTCAACAACTGAGAGATCAGGTAGGAAAAGTAGTCTTGCAAGTGCAAGGGGAAACTTGCTAAGGTAATGCAAATATGTTTGTGTTTCTGCTTTTTGAACAGTGAAATAGCTTAAACTAAACATCTGATCCAAAGGTCTGGGGACATACCACATGGACTTTTTGGGGCTTTGTTGAAGCTATATTTTGTGCATGTGATTTTTATGTGTATGTGATTTTTATGTGTATGCTCATTACTTAAAATGTGCAGTGTACGGAAATGGTGATATGGGTGGGGGGGTAACATAAAGCTTTTTTTCTCTGACCTTCAAAAGGAGCATACTTTCTATGAGGTCTAGAACTTGTTTCCTAGGAGCCTTTTATGGCTCCTTTGTGTCTTACCCTGCTAAAATAAGGATGTAGAGGGAAGCTGTAGAATGGTTGACTTCAGAAGGAAACGAAGATCTATTTTGTACTTTGTATAGGAATAAAAGATCAAAGAGAAGCCAGAGCTCTTGCCTCCTTTTTGCTTGCTCAGGGTATTAAGTATTAATTTTCTGCATGTTTTCAATGAGCTTGAGAAAAGGGTCAGCAGCTTGGCTAGATTGACTTTATTTGTGGCTATAATTTTCTTGTCAGCAGAATAAGAATTTGAATAATATAGAAAGTAGTTCAGTAACTGAATTAGGACTAAACTATGTATCTGGCTTTGCAAATTGTCATTCCTGTTGACTCCTCCAAGATGGCCAGCTCTGTCTGGTATGCAGAATTGCTGGTGGGAGGGAGCAGACTCTGCACATGGACCTTATCATCAGTGTGGAGCCTCATCTGGTCTCTGACCAGACTATGATGAGACGGATTCCTCACAATCCTCACAGTACTTCAGCTGTGCGGCAGAAGAATGCACTGTAGCCCTTTATTGCTTCTTGTGGAACATCTTGATGCTATTTTGCACAGACAAGAAATAAATTAGAATGGTGTCTATGTTGTATTCATCACAATGGTTTTCAAATTTTGTCTGTTTAGTATTTAGAGACTTAATGACATTGGAGTAATTTAAAAAATCTCAGGAAAAAAAAACTGTCCTGAGGGTCTGTTTGCACTGCCATTTGGAAATGAGAATTTAACAGTGACATCCAGAAATTGTGTGAATTACATGGAGAAGACCCTAGGAAGATGTAGTGAGAAGTAAAAGTATGCCTGAAACATTAATAAATATTTTTTAAATGGCAAATTAAATTTTCACTTTTGGACATTCGCTGTGTAGTTAAAGGATGGCTGTCTTTTTAAATACACTTTCCTAAATTAGAAAATGAAGCAGAAGATACTAGGATAGGTAATTTAAGTCATGTATTTTTTAAAAAGCAAAGAATAACTTCACTTTCTGTCCTGACTCTGCAGGTTTGTCTGTGAAGTAACTTTAGTGATCTGTGCATGTTGCATGGTATGTACCCTGGTCTATTTGACAGGGGAGCTATTTGGATGTGAATTCCTTTTTTTTTTAATGTGTGCTTATATGAACACTTACACATGTAAATATATGTTTCCAGCATTCTTAGATTTGTGTCAGTTCTTTATCTTACATTTTTTCTGTAGAATTTCTTCCCTACAATATGACATGAGATTATTTGTTTTTATTTTGTGGTAAATATTTACAAGGCATACTGAAACGGGACAAAGAATAAAAGCATAAAATAGGTAGTTATGTTAAGAAAACCTGTGTTTTCATAGGTGCACTTTTGAGGACACCATTCAAGAACACCCTTTTTACAACTGTCAGGGTACTGTGCTCTTGAAGCTCTTAAGCAACAGGTTGATGAAAGCTGCAAGGCATGTGAGTAGTGACCGGTTTTTTTTTGGCCAAGCTGTGTCAGACTAAGGAGAGAAGTTGTATCCCTACAGTTGCAGTCAGAGCCATGTTTGAGACAGGATGACTAACGGTGCTGGCTTGTGCAGTGACAAGATGTTGCAGCTTCTACCCACTGGAGATAAGGATGGCTAATTTTTTTATGTATAATGATGAGCTGCAATGACAGTTTAATGGCCATTTGATTCTTTTCGAGGTGAAGTGTGACAATCTGTTTAACTGCCCTTCTCTTTTCAATGAGTTTTTAAAGGGCTACAAGACTACTGCAAAATTCTTGAGGAAGTCATCTTTTAGGACAGTGTAGTTTAAAAGAGGGGATGGGAGCAGGGAAGACAGAATGACAGTTTACTTTACAAGTCAAACAGATTCTTTGCAAGTATCCCAGCAGAAGTAGGTCAACCAGTGAGACTTCATTGTGGACCTCTAGGGTCATCAATAAATTTCAAGGTAAAAATGTATTCCTGGCTTGAGGCATTGTGTCTTGAAAGCACAGAGATGATAGTGAAAGTCCCACCCTCTATTTGGGCAGTGTGTGGACTGGGTGGTATGTTGCTTTACCTTGAGGCATGGTCTAAGGTCAGCAAATCTGATGCCTTGATTCTTATTAGTTGGCTTTAATGTTGAGGAGCATTTTTTTTCCCGAAATGAGCAAGCAGGATTTGTTTGTACTGCTAAACTGTCATTGTGAAGTTAACTGAAGTGAAAAAGTCTAAGCACAACAAAGGGATGTTTTTTTGTGAGTTACTGTTTTGACTTCAGAAGTCTCTTGAACTGGGGAGCACTGAAGGAAAAAAACATTTTTTCTTGTCTCTTTCTGTCCTTGTTCTTCAGTTAATGCTTGTTTTCTGATGTTGAAGAGCAGTCTTGTTGTTTGAAGATAAGACAGAGACAGAGAAGAAAAATAGAGATTGTGGTGTTTAAAATATTTTAATAATATTTTATTTTCTTTATGAAATATTTTAAAGAAAATGATTGGACTATGTTAGCATCCCTGTCCCGCTTCTTTTCTATTCCTTTTTGTCTCTCAGTTGTTCAGCTCCTCCTCCACACCTTGTCCTATCTCTTTTCCACTCTGCAGCCACATAGCTGTGTGAGAACAGAATATCTAGTGGTTGGCTCAGATGGCAGGGCTGCATTTCTCAGTTTTGGGGTTGTTTTTGTTTGATAGTTTGGTTGGTTTTTTGTTTGTTTTGGGTTTTGTTTTTGTTTGTTTGTTTTTCTGTTGTGTTTTTTGGTTTTGTTTTTTTGGTTTTACTTGTGAATTTGACCATAGTTTTTTCTTCACAATGTAGTGAAGAAAAAGGTATTGGGTAGCAGCTGGGTGTCTGTACAAGAGAGGATTTAGGGAAGAAGTGGGAAACTGTCTTTTCCTATTGCTGGTGAACACTTAACATTGTTAACTCAACTCTGTATTTTGGACAACTAGAGATTTTTAGTTCATGTTTTGAGCCCCTCTTGGCAACAATACTGTTTGTGCTTTTAAATGAAGTGATAACAAGAAATGCTAATTTGGTATCTACTTCATCTGTTCTGCGGATGGAGCCATAAAGGTGCAGCCAGCAGAGTGGTCCTGGTGCCAATTCCTGTTCCTGGCAGCTCAGGGCCCTTTCCTGCTGTTGTGCATGTTCTCTGGCTTGTGCTTCCTCCCTTCCAGTGTGATTGCAGTTGCAGCTGGCCTTCTTGCTACTCAGGAATCTTGAAATCAGTCTCGTGCTTCTTGGGGTGTCCAGGGTTGCTGCTCAGTGGCTGCAGTGCAGAAATACTGAAAATTTCTTTTTGTTGAATAAGTTGAGACCTAGAGATGTTGAGGACATTGCTTTAAGTTTTGATACAGTACAGATATGGCTTGCGTTGCTTTTTTGTTAAAGTATTTTGAGCTACTGCCTGTAAGCACTACTTGATTGTGTTCTCTGTCTGTGTGACTAAAACATATATTTTGTCATAATAAGTGGTATTTATTATTTTTTCTTTTTATCTTATGCAATTTTTGTCCATGATGGAAATGTTTATACCAGCAGAGAAAGCCAATCAAGGAAAAACAGCATAAGCAAGCTTATAAAAAAAGGAGTAATGTCTCATTCCGTAATTATACAATCAAGGGGCTATAAAGCTACTTTTTAATGGAATTATGGTATTTTGCAAAAGTAGTGCAATTTGTAAGTTAAGAAAAATATTTCATTTTAAGATTTGCGCTTGAGGTTTATTGCTCCCCCTGGAATGACCTATACTGCTGTGGTTAGCAAGAATACATAGCAGTTGCTCTCTAGTTTTTTGTGCTATAAGCCTGGATTTCGTGGGGCATGTGGAAGAGAGTGGTCATCACATTTCTGCTTATAAATATGTCTTGGAATTCTGAACTTCTACATTAAGAACTACTGTAAATATCACTATAAATGTTTTTATAGTTTTTAAGGTGTAACCATGTCTGTTTCAGAAGAGGAGATGTGAAATGTGAGGTTTTTGCACAGACATACAGAAAACTTTATTCTGTTAACAGTTTAACTTTTTTTTTAGTTTAATTGTTTCTTGGAGTTTTTGAGGTCAGATGAAATTTTATGTGAGGTTGGCTTCATGCACTAAGTACATTCTCCATTAAATATGAGCTGTGTTTGTTTGAAAAGGGTGTAATGAAAATGAGATGTTGCTGTCAGTTATAATTGATGTGACTGTGTTCAATACTGTGTTGTAACTGTGCTGTTGTACTGAAATTTTGAGGAGAAGGTTTTAAAGTTCTAGTTAACCTAGTCTGAACTGGAAGGTTATTTTTTCCTTTTCCTGCAATATATATAGTATGCAAGACTTCCTTTCAGTGGTATTTTAACCATTGTGCAAATAAATATAATCCAGTTTTTTTCAGAATAGTGGAGTTGTTACTTCATTATGTGTATTAGAAAAACAAGAACAGCTTCCATCTTTTGCTTCGAAAGACAATGGGAAAAGTCAGTCTATTCCTGTATGTCTATATACTCAGAAAAGTATGGAGAAAGGATGAACTTTCAAGTGGAGGAAATAACCACTGTATTTGCCAGTTTGAACAGGACTTGGTCAGTGAAAACATAAAATGTAGAAACTAAAAAAATTAATTGGCCTGTAGCTACTTCTGTTTCAGCATGAGAATGTGCAAATTCTCTACCAGGGAGAAATCCAGAATTCCCTAAGGACTTTGCCTTACCTTTTTTGAAAAAGTCCTTCAAACTTGAATAGAGAAAAGCACGGTGGACAGATGTTCAGGTGGAAGTTGAATTGCCCATCATGACTACTCTGCTCTTAGAACACTGCAAACAGTGCAATGAGCTGCCTAAAGCAATCAATCCACTGTTCAGTAGTACTAGGAGAACATACTTAAATCATAGTACATTTGTTCTTTGGTGATTATAGATACAGAGAGTCTTTTATGGTATACTAGAGAAAAACAGTATCATAATGCAAACACCATTTATAACATCCATACTATTTTAAAACTGACATAATTTTGTTTACTGTGGTTTGATGTAGATTTTTATGCATGATTTTTCTAGTGCAACTTGCTCCCTACACATTTGTGTGTAAAGAAGTACTTTAGATACATGAGGAACATAGGCTTTTTATGCCAAGAGAGGTTTCGCAAACTGGGACTGTCTCTGCCTTAGCAGTCTGAAACATTGTGTGGTGTCGTGGAATAAATTCAAAGCAGGGGGCTCTCAGCTACAGTCAATTTCTGTGACATAAAATTCTGTTTCTCTCCTTTTTGGCCAGTGTGGCTTGTGTTTTGTAAAGTAGAAGGTGCTCTAGCTTTCTGTACATTTCAAATTTTGCTTTTAGCATTATTACAGAATTTTCCCTCTTTTGTCTGAGAAACTGACTATACACTCTACTCAAAGTGGGGAATTCGCGCACAGTTGGGTTTTATAAGGCTATCAGTAATACCAATGACTTTCTACTTTTGCCACCCTGAAATGTGAAACATCCAGAAGCTCCTGGATGAAGGAATCCCCAGGACAGAATAATGCAGTTAGAATGGTGCTAAATGAAATTGCAGACATTTAATGTATTTTTCTCTAGGTGTAATCATACTGATTGAAGTCAATACCATGCTCAGCTGCTGAGCCTGGCTCACTTAGTTTGAAGTTACCACTCCAAAAGCTGCACCAAAATAGTTTAGTGAGCCCTCACTAATGGACATTGGATAAAATTGGTAGTTTTTACTCGTACTGTTCTGTTCTTTGTTTAGGCTAACTTTGCTGGCTTTGCCAGAGCAGGTGGTTAGTTCTCTAGGGACTGCTTTGACCAAGAGTGCTCTGAGGATGGTAACTTACAGCAGAATGGGTAACTCTGTGCTATTTTCTGCAATGACCACTGCGATTTAGAAAGAGAACTTGAATCTAAGACTTACTAACATTTGTGATACCAGACCTGTATACTATGGCCTTTAGGTGCACGTGAAAGGTAGTTCAGGTGTGTATCTCATATACTCTTAGGCTGTTTCGTATGAATGGTTAATTGCCATAATTTTAGATACTCCTAAGGTTAATGATTTCACCAATTACCATTTTTTGTGGGAAGAAGCATAGCAACAGTCTCTATAAGAAGATTTGAAGATGGAGGAGAATAAGAAATAAAGCACATAATTGACCAAGTTCAGCTATACAGTTTTATACATTGAAATGGACAACATTGCGAAGGTGGAAGTGAATTAACCTATTATATGGCCTTATGCGGATAAGAAACACAAGTATGTCATAGACTTCACTAGTTTCAAATCCATTCATATAATGTAAGGGGAAGTCTTGTATTCTCAAAAGGGTAGAATTTGATTATGTCTCTGCGTTTTGTTATGTGTAATGAACTGTGAAACAAGGCTTATCTATCTGTGCATTACAAGCTTTCCAACACAAATGTATGCGGTCAAAGAAAGTGCATATGTGTACATTTTAGGCGTTACAATTTGTTTGAAACATAACCCAAATGATTCCTCACAAGTATGGATAAAGAACATAATTGTTGGGATATAAAAATCCCTGCGTTCAAACATCAAATTTTCTTCTTTACAGTTTTTTTAGGTCAGAGCAGACTTAGAAATGCTAATGAAAACTTTTCTTTTTAATGCTGACTTGTGGTATTTTTTCTTTAACTTGAGGGCCTTCCCAGCCATATAAGTTGTTCAACAAATTATGTTTGTTTTATTGCATTTTCCTAAAACACTCAGATGAGATGGAATTGTATGATGGAGAACAATATTGACCTTTTAATAGCTGGACTGTTGGAGAACTGATATGATAAACCCAATGGATGTAACATGCTTGAACAATTGAGACTGGTGCAGTAGATATTTCAGAATATATTTACTGTTTTGAAATTTTTATTGGTACTTGAAGTATAAAATATGACTTTAAGGAAGGGGAACCTTAGGTTTCTGTACTGTGATGCAGAATGCTAGAAAGTGTGCATTGTCAAACTATGAAAAGTATTTGAAGTTGCAATAATAGTTAGTATGCCAGGCCAGTAGGAACCAAATTTATCTGGAGTAAAGCAGTACCAATTGAAAGTCAACAGGCATGTGGGACAAAAGACAAATGAGGGTTTCTGCTTTACCTGAGCTTTATATCACCAGCAGCTATTAGATTAGTTGGCACATATCTGCTGGGAAGAGGTGATTTACTATGGCTGTGCAAAACAGTTTTTTTTCTTTTCTGTTCTGAGAAAAGTGGCTGTAAAGTCTGTGTAAGTGTATGATTGTGACTTACAGATCAGCCTGGTGGTTTCAGACTTGTTCACTAATCTTGTATTTAATCCTAGCTCATGCAGATAGTAACATTGGTAGGTATAGTACATAGTGATGCAGAGACTCTGACCAGTGAAATTTGTTCTCTATGTAGCTGTGTGATTTACTTATTTTTTCATCAATTTGTGCATGCTTCTTTTTAAAATTGTAAAACAACTGATACCATTTTTTGTTTTGTTTTTTGGGGTTTTTTTCCTTAAATACTGATGTTGTAGAAAACCTTTGTTCTTGTTTACCTCTAGCATAGTGATGGAGTACTTCAAGATGCTATGGTGATGGGAACAAATGAATTTTAGACAGAGTATGGAAAATAATTTTAAGTTACTCTAATCAATTTGTTTTGTACTTGTAGTGTGCAACTCAGTTATACTCAATTGGGTATAAATATTGAAGGTAATTTTTCTCCTTAAAATGTCTGTTTAAAATTGCAAATTGGAATTTCAAGTACTTCTGATGGGCAGTTGGCTTATGATAATGTCCTTACCTAAGGAGGTTTATGCTGTGTCTATAAATCCGTGTTGCCTTCAATCTTTTACAGGTAAATATTACTCCTTCCATACATTCCAGTGGTGAATTCCCTCAGCTTCTCCATCATGGTGTAAACATGGGGTCCTTGCCACTTAATGAGTCATATTTGTTGGCTCAGCAGAATGGCAACCCAGCTAATGTGTTAGAAACATCAATGAGATCCATTACTCCTCAGATTAATGGCAAATTCTCTAGTGATGACTTCGAGCAGCTGATCAGAAACATGTCCCAGGTAACCCTATCATATAATAACTACAAAATATGGATTACTGATTATATGAAGATTAAGATACATGTGTATTTATTTAAAAGCAATTGAGTTACTGTACAAACCACAATACCATTTATGTATAAATAAAAGTAACCTTTTAGTTTGAAAAACAATTAGTAAATGAGAAAGCAGTTGAAAAACTAGCCCTGACATAGTCACTCCTAAGCTGTCCTTACCTGAGCAGTGTGTGTATTACAGATCAGCATGCCATTATTTTTTCATGCTCATTATAGAGCTGCTGCTCTGTGCATGAGGGAGGTACTTTGTCAGAGCATGCTCTTGTATGCATAATTAATGAAATCTATCTGTTTCTTGGAAATAAAATGGAAAATTTTGACCTTGCTGTGTGCTGTTCTCTAATCTTACTACTTTCCTGTAGTAGGCAGAAATGGTGCACGAGTCCCTTCAGTGGCTGGAGCTGGGAAAGCCCAAGCATATTTTCTAGGATTTCTCTATTTAATCTGTAAGAGAGCAGGATAGGAGAAGTCTAGTGGTGTTCAGGAGGGCCTTTTTGCATAGTCCAAGTTTTTTTCATCTTTCTGAAATTCATCTGTTTCTGGTTTTGCTTGAAAGTTGTCCTGTATCCTCTAAAATAGATATACATACATATATATATATATATATTATTCAGTCACTACTAAACCAAAACTTTGTATATTTATCTTTTTTCCCTGATTTCCTCTTCTGGGCTGTAATAATATTTATTTCTCAAACATTTTCTGTATGATAGCAAGAAATTGGAAAGGAACAACTGTGTTTCAGTTATTAGCTTGTATGGTTTTGCCCAGCTGTAGTTGTCATTAATTAGTGACAACTTATTTGTTTCAAAAATTAATTTCCAAGTTGTTTGCCACGTTTATTATTGCTGCTTTTCAACATTTTTAACCTTTGTTCATTTTTAACCTTTTAACATTTGTACCCTTTTTTTAACTTCTGCTAAACAGGGTCGTCTTGTTGAGATAATTGACCTTATTAAACCTCTAAGTGGTGGTCTGGGCTTCAGTGTTGTGGGACTCAAGAGTGAAAACAGGGGAGAACTAGGAATATTTGTGCAAGAAATCCAGGAGGGAAGTGTGGCACATAGGTAATATTACTACTGAATATTTTACTATACCAAGTGTGTATATGACACTGCAGTTCAGTTGTGTTACTACTGTTATTTTTATTATTTTGTTATTTTTTACCTTCTGGTACAAGGACATGTTTACATGTTTCTCTCTTCATATTCTGAGCATCATCACACATGTGAAATTACTTGCCACAATTGATGTGATGTTGAAACAGTCATCGTATGAACTGTTCTTAATTTACAGAAATTACAGATGACTTTCTCTGCGGTTTTAAATAGGGAAAAAGAGGAAGCTACTGTTCTGTGTCATGCCTTTTAAAGTAGAAATACGTATTTTGCCATCGTTGAATGCACTGAAGAACAATTTGATGCAAAAAAGTCAGCTGTATCTGGCAGTGTTATTTGTTAGGTAGAGTCCCATAGAGCAGGTGTGAAACCCAGATTTGAGGTCAGGCAAGTCTTGCCCTAAAGTCAGGGATATTCACAGAGATACTCAGCTGATATTACGGAAGCTCAGTAATAATGGCTTGCTGAAATTATGCTTCAGACTTAAACTCAGATTCCACAGCTAATGTTGAGAGAACTGCCGAGGCAGCACACAAACTCAAAGGTAAATGGCAGCAGCACTGGTTCACTGCAGACTAGTAAAGTGTGTCACTGGTCCAAGCTGCTTTGTGGTGTACTCTGTGTCCACTCTGTTGTGTGGAGAGCCTGAGTCATGTTGGTGCTGTTTCTCACTGTGCTTTAGGGAGATATTTTTGGATTATTTGTGATCTGAATATTCACTGTAAGTCTAAAAAGAACATGGGCAAGAGAGACAAGAACATGGTATACAGACTTAATTGTAGTTAATCAGGTACAAAATGTGGCTTGCTTTATACCCTACAATATTTTTTAGTCTCCCCAATTTCCACTTTCTCTTTTTGTTTTCTTTTCTTTTGGTTTAGGCGAGGTGGCTTTTTTTTGTTTGTTTTTTTGGGGTTTTTTTCTGTTTGCTTGTTTCTTCAAGTTGAAGCTAAATAGTTTTTCCCTACCTTGGTGCTCTACCTGGGTTTCTTGAGTGTGGGTGCTCACAAAGGGTGTTGTAATAGAGATTCTTGTTTTCCTTGCTGCCCTTTTTTAATCAAAGCATTGCCACTTTGGGATGCAAAGAAGTAGTGGAAGAAAGAGAGGGTAATCCAGCTATGTAGGCTTCATTCATTTCCTTTGGAGTAGATGTGAGGAAGGACTCAGTATGTGATTTTACAGTGATGCTTTCTTTGTCAGAAAGCGATGAGGTTTTTTAAATTTGTTCAGGGCTTTTGTTTGGTTTCTTTCTTTGTCCTTTTTTTTTTCCCTTCTCCTCCCCCCCCCCCCCCGCCTTGTTTTTCAGCAAAACAAAATTTGTTTCTGTAACATAGTGATGAAAGGATGAAAGTGTGTTCCACTCCATGGTTTGATGAATATTTAGAATGGGTGCACTGAACAAAGTGGAGCACTTGGTCTGTAAAGCAAGATGCTCAAAGTCTAGGATAAACATAAGTTCCCAGGCTGTGGTTGGGAGCAACTGAGATTAATATACTTAGTCTCGCATGGGAGTTCAGGGAGAGAAAGCTGGCTAGGGGGTAGTCACCAGGGGAAAGTAGCAGTGGGATTAGCTTCAAAGGGAGCCATCACCAGGATGCCACATCAGCTCCTTTCAGCAGCACTGCAGGGGGGGATTAAAAAAGTGAGGGGAATTGAGACCAGGTTATTAAAAATCCTGTAAAGTTGTCAAAATACTGAAAATTCTGTGGCAATGCTTCCTTGATTTTTCTTTTTTGTTTATTTTGTCATCTGTTTACACCTGTGTGACAGAGATGGAAAGCTGAAGGAAGCAGATCAAATCCTTGCTATTAACGGACAAGCTCTTGATCAGACAATTACACATCAACAGGCTATCAGCATTTTGCAGAAGGCAAAAGATAATGTCCAGCTAGTTGTGGCTAGAGGCACTTTTCCTCAGATCATCAGTCCTGTAGTCTCCCGGTCTCCATCTGCTGCTAGCACAGTTTCAGCCCATTCCAACCCGGTGAGTATAGCTCAAATATCTGTGTATTCAGTTCTGGATGTGCATGTACTTACTGCATATAGTCTTTTGAGTAATTTTTTGTAACTTGAATGTACATTTCTTCACAATTCTTGAGGTTTTTCTTCTATTTATCTTTATTATACCTTTTCCCTAAAGACTTGAAAATATTCTGGCTTGCTGGGGGAAAAATCTTCATCTTGGATGTATTCCCTGCTCCCATCTGCCAAATTATCTGTATCCACCAGTGCAAATGCAGCATGTTTACCTTACTTGATGAAGCTTTATTTTGAGGTTGCACTAAACAGGATATTTTTTTCTTTGCATTCTGCTTAAGCAAACAATTTTTTGAGGCTTTGTAATCTGATCTGCACCACCAGCTGGATGGGTGCTTTTGTGTTTGTTTCTCTGTTGTCTGTTAGCATGGGAGCTTCAGTGAAATTACAAGATGTGCTTAAGGACTCCCTAAAAAGCAGCTCTACTACAATTCCTTTCTTATGAGAGCTTTTGCACATCTACGTGTAGACAGCACAGTTCAGAAACATGGTGATATCAGGCTGATATTAACTGTACTTTCTCTTCCTCTAACCTCACTCATGTAATGGATTGTCCTGGGATGAAACAGCCTATATTCAATTTTTTTATATTCAAGTTCAGTCTTCTGTGACCCTTCTTTAAGGGAGTCAATTACCAGAAGTGTAGAGAGCAATCATTCTGGAAAAAGGAACTGTTTTTTTAATCATTAGTATAACGATTAAAAAAATAATTATATTATTAATTTATTATTATTATTATTATTATTATTATTATTATTATTATTATTATTATTATTATTATTATTATTATTATTATTATTATATTTTTATTTTATTTTTATTTTTATTTATTAATGATTATTTATATAATCATTATATATATCATTATATTATTCCTTTAGTGGAGGAATGTCAGAAATGTTCTTTATATCTGTGTACAGGAGGGCAGCTGACTGACCTAACTTTTCCTGCCAGCACGTAGGGGAAGCTTGCTCTTTTCCAGTATTGCTGTGACAAAATTGTTATCCATGTGATTGCCTCTGTATTCGCTGAACAGCTTCCCTTGAATGAAAAGATGTTCCTTACAAACATTCCATAGCTGCTTCTGGTTTGTTTAGTGTACCTTTCCCAGTTTTCATGTTCTTTTTGCTTTCAAATGCAACATACTAGGAGCCATTCTCTTTCCTTCTGGCTTTGCTTTATTATACTGGCTTTATGTTAACACTGGATTTCCAAACAGGTAGCACAGGGCTTTGAGTTTGCAATACCTTGATTATTCAAAAAAAAAGCTTATTTTAAGATTATACCTGGTGTAGCACCAGCTGTGGTTTTAAATTTCAGACGAGTTTACTGTGGAAGTTCTTGTTCAGAAGAAAGAGTACCATGAGCTTCCAGCTGTCCCTTCAAGGAGTGCCCCATGCGAGTGAGATAGGATTTGCCTTTCTTTCAGAGCAGTTTTGCCCCTTTCAGAACACAGTCTGCCATCAGAATGACTTCATTCTCATGCTGTTGCCATCAGACAACCCAGAAGAATACTACATGGGGCATTTCTGTTACTACCTGCCTCACAATATTTGGTTCTGCTTTCAGACTTAGAAGTACTGAATTGGGATTTTGGTTTTTCTTTTGCTTTGTTGTAATGGCTGATGTGAACATGCCTGAAGAACAGACCTGAAAATTTTAATTTCCAGTCCTGTGTGGTTTTCTAGAAGCATATTTACTGACTGCAAAGGGGCATGAAGGTGGGCAGCGCTAGGCTGCTGCCTGTATTCATTCAATGAGTTCTTGGAAGTTCTGACTCATTATTCAACTCTGGTTTGTATCAGAGAAGTTCCACCTGTTATAGAATTAGTAATTTACTGATTAAATATTATGTAATATCACACCTAATAGTAATTTTTGAAAAGGTATTATATGTAAATCTTCTTCCAACTTTCCATTATTAAAAACATACTCAAGAAATACGAGACAATATGCTGCAAATTCCTATATGCATATGAATAGTTTGACTTGATAATCTTAAAGGCCTTTTTACACCTGAACAATTCTATGATGCTATGTTTTTAATCATTTGCAAGCTTTTATTTATTCCTTTTAGGTTCACTGGCAGCATGTGGAGACCATAGAGCTGGTCAATGATGGCTCAGGTCTGGGATTTGGGATAGTGGGAGGAAAGTCAACTGGCGTGATTGTTAAAACCATCCTTCCAGGAGGGGTGGCCGATCAGGTAAGTTCAACCTACCTCTCTGTTACTGTTCAGTAAGGTGTGAAATTACTCATTGCTTTTATGATCAGACCAAATAGTAGTAGCTTTTATCCAAATAAATGAAAAAAAAGAAACAGTAATTATGGAAAATTTTCCTCTGTAAAGGTGTCTTTAATGCAGGAGTCTGCATTTGAATGTTAAAGATGAATTAGGTTCTAAATTACATTTTCAAATCTAGTAACATTATACACATTGTGTGGATTTACAGTCTTAATTCTTTCACGAGTGTACTTTCACGAGTGTATGAGTTTGTAATCAGGGGTGGTAAGGATTCCAAAGATTGACTTTCTGTGTCCTAAGAGCATCTGCTTTTCTCTGCTGAGCTTACTGAAATTTGGAGCAGGTATGTGGCTTCATGTGTCTTCTTCAAGACACGGGCTCTGCTCTTGCCTGAAGGGGTCATGTGAATTGAATTTGGTTTTCACACCTCATTTCAAGCTTGTTCATTGGACAGGTACCTTTGGCTGCATTTATGATGGTCAAGGATTGGGTAGGCACAGAGACTGGTCAGTCTTCCAACAATAGTAGTAGTGGCCTGATAACAGGGCCTGGAGAGGCATGGACAGCATTTACTGTTGTCCTCTTTCCCCTGAACAGGTAGATAGCTTTCTTTTACAAACCTGTCTTTTTAACACTCGTCATATGTCCTAAATTCATATGAAGCTTTTTTATTAATTAAAGGTTAATCAGTAAGAGACTAAACCAGTGTGAATCAGTTTAGATAGCTGGATCACAGGAAGAGAGAAATGAATTTTATTTTGAAGTCATGGTTAATCCTGTTACTACTAGTAGTAGCTTTTTAGTATCAGTGCAAACCTTAATATGCATTTCTATTCTGTTTTTTGGATGTGTGCTTGAAAATGGAACCCAAAGTTCTGCAATCTACATGCAGTTGTTAAATACCAGTAGGAGCTGGTAACTGTAGCACATTTTTTGTAGCTAAGCACATTTTTTTCTCTGTGCTTGGGTGATGTCTTGAAAAAGGATCTCCTGGATATCTCTGGGGAAATTCCTAATAAAACTTGTGTGCCATTAGGCAGCCTTCTTTTCTTCTCCACGTTATCAGGATATTGACTTGGCATCCAAAAAAAGTCACCTGATTCATATGTCATAAGTGACTAAAGCTATGTGCTATTTTTCTAGTTGAATAGTACATGGGAGAAATGGCATTTTTTCGTCATTATTTTTCCTTCAGCATGGAAGACTGTGTAGTGGAGATCACATCTTGAAAATTGGTGATACAGACCTAGCTGGAATGAGCAGTGAGCAGGTGGCACAAGTTCTCAGGCAGTGTGGAAATAGAGTGAAATTGGTAATTGCAAGAGGTCCTGTTGAGGAACCCCTTCTACCCGCAGTTCCTCCAGGAACACCAGTACCCACCTCTACACCAGAGAAACAGGTAAGCAACAGTGAACATATGTAACCCATTGCAAACTTCCTTTCTTTTTAACTGCTCTTTGAATGTTTTTTGTATTAATTTTGTATCTGTTCTCAGAAGCTAGGATTTTCTTCCTCAGTAGTGCAATTCTGGGAGAATTTAAATGTAATGAGTCCACAGTGCAAGGAACTGTATTCTTGAAGACTTCTGGGATTAAGGTTTAGGACTTCAATAAGTATAATCTGATTAACAACTTGTTCTGAGTTGCTTGTAAGGGTATGTTATTACATTGGGACAACTGAAGCAACGCAGTCTTTTCTTCAGGACTGAGCTAGTTGAGTCTTTAGCATTTCTCTGTCTGCCTTTTTTCTGTATAATTTCATCTGTTCATCAGAACTTTTCTCCCTGTGCCAAGCAGCACACAGATGCTAATCCTTTCGTACATCACCTGTCACTGCTCATTTGCTAGATATTTTCTAAAAAAAGTAAGCCAGCTGCTCCCCTTACTCCCCTGCTGATGATTGTACTTTGTATCTTTACTCCTCTACAAGTGTCAGCCACTTAAAAAATGCTGTAAATATTATCATGACTTGTCAGCTCAAAACCTCTACAAAACTGGTAATTTGCATGTTTGTAACAAAGTCTGGTTTCATGGGATTTAGAAACAGTACTGTTTTGCCACATACTGCTATGGCCAGATACATTGAAATGTAAATATATCAAGTAAATTAATGAGAGAAGAAAAGGTTTGTTGTTTTTGAGCCTATCCTTATATAGAATTTTTTGTTTTACTTTTTCCTGTTGTTTTTCTGGACATTTTCTTCAGTTCCAATGTAGATTTGAGTCAAGTCACATATGAAGAGAAGTCCTTGCAATTTATGCATGGATATTATGTAACAATTTAGATGGTGTTACCATCATTTTGTCTCTGTCCATTGTAGTGATATCTGTGAAAAATTAACATATATTCATCCCCTATTTTGTGGCTATAAGGCAAAGACGGTTAATTTTAACATGGAGATTTCTGAGCCTTAAAGATAAGAAAGAAACTAGTACTTTTGTGTCTTTACAGCTCAGAGATATAAAATCTTCCTGCATTTTAGATAGAGATTAGTATTTAACACTAGTATTACTTGTCTGAAATGCATCTCTCAAAATAAAAGCTGAATTTGATAATTTAATCTGTGCATTATTTCTGCAGTATTTGCCTTTTTGAGGTTACATGATGCAGTGTTTGAAGATGTATCTGCAGCTGCAGAATATATGCAATTTCGAGTACTGACAAAATAGCAAAGGGGCACAATTTGAGGTTTTTGCCACCTTCCCAATTTCCATACTTTTCAAAACCTTTTTCCTGGTACTTCTTTCCTGGCAGGAGGCAGGCTATTTTTAAGCTGTTCCTGCCTACACAAAGTCACGTTCTTGGAATGAGCACCCCTGTTAGCAGTCATGCAAACTCATTGATTTGGGTCTGGAGTAAAGATGATGATTCAAACAGCTTGATTTTTAGTTTCTTCCTATCAGGTGCGATGTAGGTGAAGTCTTCATGATGCTCTTAAAACTATTATTGGGACCAGAATGGCTTTGCAAAATGGGCACTTCTTGTCATGTTACCTGCAGATGTCTATCTTATATAAATTCAGGAGGCTATAAGAATTGGATCTTTTTTTAGTGGCACTACTTGTGGCCAAAATAATTAATCATCAATGAGAGGGATGATTAATACATTAGAAATTTTTTTTTTTCTTGCGTTCAATTTGGTTTCTGGTGGAGTCGCTTGGATAAAGAGCTCAAGTCAGATTCTGTTGGGAAGTAGCATCATAGCTCTCCTGAAACCTTTTTTGGTGCATACTTACCTAGTCAAACTGGCTTTAGTTAATATCTGCCTGGTTGCCATATTGTCACTTAAAAAAAAATTAGCTACTATTTGGCATGCAGAAGGGGCAGAATAAAAACTTCTAATACAAATCCCCACTGTTAAAATAGGATTTTAATATGTATTCCACTTTCATTAACAACAAGTAATTAAATAGACACAAAATCCATTGGTACTGAAATTCAGAGAGTTATAGCAGCTATTAATGAAGATTGTAATTATTTAGCTAGCTGGAAATATAATTGTTATATGCTAAAATGAAATTTTTAAGCCTTTCAAAAGCAAAAAATACAATTGCCTGACTAGTGATAGCTTTTAGCATATTTTAAATTTGCAAGTTTTAAAAAGACACCTATAGTTAATGAACAGAAATTTATACAAGTAGAATAGAAAATACAATTTGGGGTTTTTTTTTCTTCTTTTTAATAACACAGCAGTCTAAAGCTAGTTCTGAGGAGATCCCAGAAAATCAGCAAGCTACATATTCATATACATATATATGTAACTTGCAGTACAAGAAATGAATTGTTCAATTTGTGCAAATTTTACGAATCTTTTATCCATTAAATAATGATTTGATAGGTTGAAGGTAATATCCCAGAGTAGTGGGGTGAAGGAGGACATGGGCTGACCTGCATTGCTTTACTGTGAGGAATGTTACCTACTTCTTGTTTGACAGATGAACAGCAAATAAGAACAGAAACAAATTTCATACTTCCTTTTTTGTGGTTTTATCTAATTTTATGTGTTACTGACATTAAAGAATGTGGTGAATCTTTAAAGAAAAAGAGCTTCCTTTCTAATCCCCTTTTTCTTTTTAGGATGATGCTTCTGTTGATAGCTGTGAGGATGGGGAGAAATTCAATGTTGAACTCACTAAAAACAACCAGGGTTTAGGAATAACTATTGCTGGTTACATTGGGGACAAGACATCAGGTAATTGTTGATTCCTGCACTTTATTATGCATTCTATTGCATACTATGGTATATGTGCATCAAAGACTTAATTTTGATATAACTTCTCTTAAAAGAACCCTTAACAATTTAAAATCTATTTGAAATTTGAAAAGGAGAAAGAATGGTTTTCATTTTTTAAAAAGGATGTTCAGAATAAAAGCAATTGTTATTATTAAAAAATCCCACCTCAGTATTTTTAAATGTCTTTTTATCTTCACTTTTGGCTAAACTCATAGTTGTGTGGTTTTGAAAAGCAATGGTAAAATAGTTTGAGCCCTTTCTGTTAGAAGTAGCCTTCTTACAGGGCAACACAGTAGCATTCTGAGTAGTTTTTAGAGATTGTTATTAATTTTTAAACAATGTCCATAATGCTACTTGCACATCACAAATTCTTTACTGACTTCTGGATGTAATAACTGTTTCTTCATCTGTGTGCTATGGCAGACAATAAATAAGTTTATTTAAAGAAATAAATGCAGAAATGTTCATGGACAGTTGCTTATTTTTACTTCATAATTTCCACTACATTTTTCACAAAAATAATCCAGATCTCTCTTAGGCTTCTTTAGGGGAAATTGGCAAATTCAGTAATGCTAGGAAGGGATGTCTTTTGAACGTGTCATAAAGCTTCTCAAAGAGCTGTTGCTTTGATTTGTATATTGTTTGAAAAATGTATGGATTATGGTACATTCCATATTTTTGGCAGTTCTAGCTATAATTTTTTGGATCAGAGATAACTGGACTTCCACGGGACCAGACAGAGTTCATGAAAGTCCACTCTTTAGCAGCTTCCAGTTGAATTTCAAAAGACAAATTTAGATGTAGAACATGTATAGATCTGAGAGCACATTTTGACTGATTTAGTATTTGGGTGTCATTGGTCTTCAGTTTGAAATTACTGTGTTGCATGTAGCTATGTTAGAGAATATCCGTGTCTCAGGAACTAGTTAGGTAACTCAATTTTGTGGCATAACAGTTACGGAACAACTTGGCTGTCAGAGAAGGAGTTGTCATGTTATCTTACAGCTGTTACAGGATATAAGAATGCTTGGAAGTTAGGAGGACCAGCTTTGTAATTATGCACAAAGCCTGGGCAAACAAAAACCCACCCCAACCCCCTGCCCGCCCCAAAAAAACCCCAAAACCTGACAGAAATACAGAGACTTCTCAATGAGATGACTTGAATATATATGTAATCTTATTTTTCCTAAGCTGAGTTGAGTCATTAACCCTCCTTCCTTATAACTTTTGTCATATTGAGGGCCATTAAAAAGATAGCTTGAGGTCTGCAAAGGGTGTGACAGCTTTCAAAATATATTTTTTAGTGTATTATGTTCACATCAAGCATATTCATTTAATAGAGTGAGAACATTTATTGAGAAAAAGTAGATGCTGTTAAGATTTCTGATACCAGTGTTACAGGCCTGAGACCATCAGAGTGATTTCATGCCTGTTTACGCTGTTATTTCTCCTGATTTAATGTAAGCTGTGCAAAATGTTCATGTAGGAACTCCATATATTTGTATTTTATTGAGCTGTTGAAGTTGTTTCAAAGCAAGTGTGTTTTTCTTGAAATGTTTTCTTTTAGTAAAGTGTCCCTTCTGTAGGTGTTTTCTATGTATTATTTTCCTTTTGATTCAAAAGTAGTAACCAGTTAGTAACTAAAATGTTTTTGATGGGTGTTTTTTTGTTTAATTTTGTTGTTCTGTTTGAGTTTTTAAAACTTTGTGATCTTTTTATTAAATAGTGATAACGGCAGTTAAAAATTGGTTCAAACATAAAGTTGTGTTCCTGTTCATTTATAATTTTATCAATATGGCAATCCAAACATGCATTTTTTTAAGCTGTTATTAGGTACATAGAAAATTCAGAAATTGCTGGATTAGTGTACTCAAGCTGAATTTTCTGTCCAAATCTGGCAAAAGTCAGAAATATGTTTTTTGTCTATGCTGGTTTCAACATTTAGATTAAAGGAAGTTAGAATATTTCTTGTTTTGCATCAAGAATATTTCTTGTTTTGCATCAGGAATTGTGTATTTGGCATTGTAAGGTTTTGAATTAAATCTGATCCAATGCAGACAGACAATCTGGCTCATTGTTTAAGATGATAATAATATATATGTTTTTCTTAAATCATTGCCTTCTTTATCATTCTTTTATTATCTTATTTTGGGATTGTTTTTTCTTTTTTATCCCCTTTATTGATTGGTGCCTTTAGTTGCATTATTTAAATTGTTTCTTAATAAATCAGTTAATTTAATTTTCCCTGTTTTTTTCATCCCAGAACCTTCTGGTATCTTTGTGAAAAGCATTACAAAAGGTAGTGCTGTTGAACATGATGGCAGAATCCATGTTGGAGATCAAATTATAGCTGTAAGTAAACGCGGGATGAACTGAGATCGCTTGTCTACAAGACTCTGCTTCTTGATGTTGCAAAGAAAAGCTCATGAAGTACTTGTTTAAAATACTCAGTGGATCAGTGTTGCAGTTCTGAGTCCTTTCCTGACAGAGTATCTCACCACAAGTTTTCTGATTATGCTACCTGCATGTAACTTAAAATTCTTAAAAAAAATCTTGTATGTGAGGCTATATCATTATATATCCTCCTTATCAGTAGGAGGTTGGTAAGTGTGAAATTTCAAAATCTGATTCAAATTGAGCAACTGTTTTCAAAATTATTTTAAGAAGTTATGTTCAAAAGTTTTAGGTGTTCAGAGAAATAAGAACATATTTTCATTTATAAACTCTTGGTTTTGTGGTGGAAATCAGGTCCTGAGTGCAGGGAGTGCATTTTTGTGTCTCTCATATATCTGTCCTTGCATTTGTGTGAAAACAGCTCTAAGAACAGGTTATGGTCTCTCTCCAGAAGTGCCTGCATGTTTGTTTGTGGAAGTACATATATTTTTTGTAATGATTTACATGCTGAATACAAATGGCTAAAATGGATTATTCCGAAGTTTGTTTTCTTTTTCTGCTCCAGCTGCAGAAGGAGAAAACTATTTGAGTGATCTCAGACACTGAAGAATAAAAAATGTTTTTTAAATATGGTTTTAGTGTGGAGGAAAAATTAAATAGTCACACCTTATTTTTAGTTACTTTAGAAGAATTTCAGAGAAGGACAACAAATGACTAAGGGTCCAGGAGATTCATTCTTCATTTAAGAGGACTTAAAATAATGAAGGATGTGTTTTGTGTAGAGAGGCAGAAACAAATACAGGAGTCAGAGAGCATGGTATTGTAAGAAGTATTTGAGACATTTAAGGCACTGTGAGGTAGATGTAGGAATAATAGAACATAATGGAGTTTGCAGGGAGAAGAAGAATAAAACATGGTGGGTGCTAGGTAGGGGTAATGGGATAGAATTAAGAAATATCAAAGTTTTGAATTTCATAAAAAACCCCAAGTTAATGAGATAATAAAATAATTTGAAACAAAGGAGGCAAAATTTTATTCTTTAAACTCTTATAATGATGAACCAGCGATAATGTCTACTTGTTTGCAACAGTGTTCTGTTTCTAAATTGGAATTCATGGTGTTCATTGGTAGATTTCTCTGTATCTAAGTTTACTTGACCTCAGAATGACTGCACTCTGTAGGTCTTTCTGCCCTAGTGGGTCGATGTGTGTCTCCTTGTTTCTTCAGAACTCCTAGCCATGGCTGTGTTGTTTATTCACCCAGTATTATCCCTCAGAGGTAGGGATGGCTGAAGTGGTTGAGTGACAGGCTGTACAATATGCCCTGCACAGCACATGCTATATCCTCTCCCACCTTGCAGAGCAGATCTGCCTGGCTGCATCATGGTGGGTGCTCCTCTCCTCTTTGCTGTGGTGCTGGTTGTCACCTAGCTCTGGGCTACTCCAGTGGGTGTGCTTAGCATATCCAACTACATAAAACGGTATAGGTTTTGTTCTTGCCCCTCCACTTGCTTTTTGCTTAGGCTAACAAATGCTTAGAGCTCACTGCATTGTTTTGCCCTGAACTTTTTCTCTGTGGGTGAGCTGAAAAGCTGCTTGATCCTGCAGGTGGATGGAACAAATCTTCAGGGTTTTACTAACCAGCAAGCAGTTGATGTTTTGCGGCACACGGGACAAACGGTTCGGCTCACTTTGATCAGAAGAGGTCTTAAACAGGAAAATCGTATTCCACCCCAGGAAGACTTCAGTGCTCCTGTTGAGCAGGACTTATTATTCCAAACAAGGGATAGTACCACAGCCAAAGGTAATTAAAACTGGCTTTGCTGTTAAGTTGGCTTGAAACATTTTTCTTTTCAATTGCAAACTGTAAGTAAATGGGCCAGATTAATTCTGGTTAGCCATTACAGATGGTAATGGTAGCTGCTGTACATGAGGGTGGAGTTTTGTCTGCAATGGTTTGATTAATCTTTTATATACAGTGGTATTATTTGCTACATTTTCAAAGTGAGTGTTGAATGTTCTTTCCTGCATTGCACTTCTGTCTGAATTGCTTCAAGCCTTTGATCCTGCAAATCTTTGAATGGTAAGAAGGCAGCAAATGTTTTATTCATACTCAGGAGTGAGAGCTGCATTCAAAAGCAATCAGAGAAAGACCCTCCTTGATGAGCATAATCAATCTCATCCCCTTTTACTTTTGCTTGTTACAAGGTAGAGGAATGAGAGGAGTAGCCTGTATTTAAGGGCTGATAGGGTATTGACAATGGATGTGTAAAATGTTCAGATGCCAGAGACCAGTAGTAATTTTGCTGCTGATGACTTGAGACTAGTGCAGCTTTATCTTACATACTCTGCGCATATTTAAGTATATGTGCCATGTCTTGAAAGTCACTGTTTGAATGAAAGTTATGTATCTGCACAGGGGCTGGAAGCACAAAATAGCTGCTTGTGTTATAGTTTGATGTCAGTGAAAGTATGTCACAGGTAGTCAACAGAGGCTTAATCTCCATCTTGCACAAGATTTTCAAAGAGCCAGTAGCATCTTAACATGTATTTCATCCTCCCACTCCCACCATTAACAAGAGGTATAGGCCAGTGTTCAGGATGCTGTTTCTCCAGCCAACAGGTGTTCAAGACATCTGACAGGTCACAACAGACATAACAGAATTTGGTGGAAGGAGAGGTTTTCTACATATGAAAAGTGTGCCAGCTATACAGCTCTCCAAGGCTGAAGCATTTTTGTTTCCAGTGTCAGCTTTCTGAATTGCACAAAGGAAAAAAAAAATAAACAAATACAAGAATGTTAAAGAATGTTATATTTAGATGTATTTTTAGTTAGTCATAGAAATGCAGGTACTGATGGTTGTGGTGGGTTCTTTTGTCAGATTTTTTTGTTGAACTCGCTGGAGAAGGCAATGCATTAACAGAAGACAGTGTCTTTGAAATGTGATGTTTCTTCTGGGCCACACATGCCAGATTCCATTTGCAAAATATGAGTACTCTGAAGTCCAGTGAAGGAGAGAGTTGGTGTCCCAGAGCATACCTGTGAGCTTGATAAGTATTATGACATATAAAATAGCTAAATAGCTGAAAAGATTTCTTCTTTTTTTCAGATAACAATGAAACAGAACAGGGATCCCCATCACTGCCATGCAGTGCCAGTGTGGTAAATATGGGAACTGACGTGAAACAACAGGAAACAGGTTCTCAAGGTTTAATATTTTATTCTGTGAAAATGCCCTTCTGTGTGCTTACACAAAGATCAGGTGTTTTGTGTGTCTTTCCATCTTCTGCAATCTCTGTAGCTGAGGTAGAACTAGAAAGTCAAAGTAGTCATACATTTAATCATGGGCTCTCAATTGTAAGTTTTGTTGGAACAGGACTACTGTATGTGACTGAAAATAATTATATGCTGAAGATATCACATGAAGCAGTCTGCTTTGGCTACTTGCTTAACCCTCTCCTAGTCTAGTTTTGCATATCTCTTAGTCTAGCCTAGGAAAAAAAAATGTTTCTTTCCCATTCCCTGTTATCTTTACAGTTGTCTGCAGCTGTGCAGCTGCATTCCAGCACTTCTGCATCTTCTGATGAATTTCCTTTTCCCAAATTCTTGAGCTTACATTTCATTTAGTATTCTCTGGTAATGTCTGAAATTCAGTCAGTTCTGGTTTACTGATACTCTCCAAATTTTCCCATACTTTTTGTCAAAATTCCTATTTTCTATGTTTTTCCTGCTTGATCTTCTAGAGCACTGTTCAGCATTTTCAGAAGTCCTGTGTGATGATATGCTTTTCAGATTTAGACATAACTTGATGTGTCAACTTGATGTGTAACATTTTTGTGCTTCTGAAGTAAAAGGAGGAACTGAAAAGTTCTGCGATATATATCTTTTCATAACTCATGCTTTCTGATCTTCTTGGATAGCTGACGGAATTTCTTTTTAACTTCCTCCCTTCAGATACTGCTGTGTCTTGGCTTTGGGGAAAGTATTGTCCTCCTTGAATACAATGCAACATCTGACTTTATATTTAGTAATGTCTCTGGGCAATGACTAGACTTAAAACACTGTCTGAGGCTCCTAGTCATTCTTACTAAAATCACTTTGAGATTTTGAGAACTTTGTAATGAAGATTCTTCTCCTTGCTTGTGATAAGCATTCAGATCTGAAGAGTTTATTTTGATACTTACTGTAGACACAGCCTAGACCATGGACCTCGAGTATGTAGGATCCTGTTAAACTTGCTGTGTTTGCTGGCAGCTGTATCTAAATACTGCTTTTTATTGGTTTCTGCCATAGAGGCTAGACAATGTGAATGAGGGGGAAATGAGCAGAAAGAAAGCATTTCTCTGTTTTTAAAACCTGCAAATAAACTTTCAGTCAAATTAAGATTTGCCACAGTTTGCTACCTAGCCTGTCACTGTATCACTGTACTTCTCCCGCTTCCTTCCTTTCCAAATTTGTTACTGTTCTTTAGCTATTAAAATAATTTTTTAAAAAAAGCAAAGAACTTGGACTTCTTGCATTCTGTTACTGACCTTTAGGGCTTACTGTTTCAGAAAGGTCTTTCACAGTTGTTCTCATGGTTTTAAAAATAAAAAAAAAAGATCTCCAGATTGTGTTTTTTGGACATTCTCTGTAAAATACAGGGTCTGTCCAAAAGGATCAGTGTACATTTTTAAGCCCTATTTTAGCCGTCCCCCTGAATTAATCTGACCAGCACACATGTAGTCTGATTTAACATAGGGCTTGAATACAACCTTTTCATTTTCATCTTGAAAAATTGCAGATACTTGACTTAACTCTGAGGCTAGTATGTATCTTTTTTCCCAGCCACCAAACTATTTGACTGTTCATGTCTTTCAAAATACACAGTTAGTTTTTCATTGGAATGATTGGAATCTTTTGATTGGAATCTTTATACTGCTTTGCGAGTTTTTGCTGTGGTAACCCCAAGCTTGGTGAGACTAAACATGCCAAATTTTTAGTCATATTTAGGAGAGTTCTGACATCGTGGGAATGATTGTGTCATTGTGCATGTTCCATATACTTTATCAGTTGTAGGAGTTTACTAGGTTTTTTTTTTTAATTTTTTGTCACAATAATCTTAAATATAAATTTTAGATTTCCAGCTAACTAGTACAGAAGAAGCAGCTGCAAAGATAAAATGGCAGAGGATTATGGGTTCGAATTATGAAATAGTGGTAGGTAAATTTTTGTTTACTCTTGTTAAATATGCATCTCTTTCATCTGTGCATCTATTATCTTGACAACATATGGAGAGAAATATGCTTGTATTGCATTTGTAACTTCATGTATGAAAATTACACATATGCTCCTTAGTATCTTGAGATTATTCTAATTATAGACTTTGAATATAGATATGTATTTTTCTGTATTTTATCAAAACCATAGCAGACTTGTATGATTACTGTGCCCATGACTATTGTTTCACTTATTTTCTAGCTTCAGGAGAATAAATGTATTTAGAGAAAAAATATTTAATGTGAACCTCAAAGCTCACTTCATTAGCTAGGACTTGAACCTTCATTCTCATTCTGCATACTGAGTAAATGATTTCACGTAATGATCTAAATAATGCATAGAACATATACTGTAGATACAGAAGAAAAGTAGTATCTGATTTTAGGAGATCACATGTCACAGATGTAGTGTCTGCAGAACTAGGTATTATTAGATACATTGTTGTCATAAGCAGTTCCCACTCGTGTATTGCAAAGTGGTCGACGAGTCAGTTTTTACCTGACTCCCCATTTTACGTGATAGTACTTCTGGTTTCTCACTTCTGGAATTTTGACCTAATTGCATGTTAATTGAAGTGGAAAGTAACAGATCTGGCTGTAAATATGACAAATGTAACCATTTCTTCATCTTATTTTAGGTGGCTGTGGTTAATAAATTTAGTGAAAGCAGTGGGTTAGGGATAAGCCTTGAAGCTACAGTGGGTCATCATTTTATCAGATCTATCTTACCTGAAGGGCCAGTCGGACGAAGTGGCAAGCTGTTCAGTGGAGATGAACTGCTAGAAGTAAGAATAAGTACTGCTTTTTCTTAGTCTGCATTCAGTAAGGTTTTTGAGCAGTAAGTTTCTTCTCATAGGCTATGACCATGGGAGTGATGTATGCCTAACGGCATGCCAGTTAGTGGTTGAGTAGTCACTTCATATATACTTACATATATTTATGTGAGTACACGTGAGTACTTACATACATACCTTTCTTAGCTGACTTTTCGATAGTCCAAGGTCTCTTGCATAGTCTAAGCTCAGCTGGCCAGTAAGCACCATGCAGCCACTTGCTTACCTACCCTACTCACCCCCAGTCTGCTGGGATGAGGAGGAGAATCAAAAGTAAGACCTTGTAAGTTGAGATAACCGCAGTTTAATAATTGAAACAAAGTAAAGTATAATAATAATATTAGAAATATTAGTAGAAAGGAGAAAAACCTTCAAGTGATGCACAATGGAAGTGTCCACCACCTGCTGATCAATGCCAGAACCTGTCCCTGAGCTCTGATCAGTGCACTTTCCAGTTAATTCCCCAGTTACATACTGGGGACATGACGCTCTTGGGTGTGGAATATCCCTTTGGCCAATTTAGATCACTTATCCCTGCTGTGTTCCTTCATAGCTTTTTTTTTTCCTTTTTTGTACCTCCTCACTGGCAGAGCATGAAACATCAAAAACTCCTTGATTCAGCTTAGCAGCAGCCAAAACACTGGTGTGTTATCTAATCCAAAACTGAATCCAAAACACAGCACTGCACAACTAGTGAGAATAAATTAACCCTATCCCAGCTGAAACCAAGACAGTCACCAAAAAAGAATATGTAGCAAAAGTATTAAGATTTAATAGGATTATCCCAACTCAGTGAATGGACTAAACATCTAATTACTTTTCTAAATTATTCTTTTAGAATTAAGATGTGAATTTGGTTTATATTAATGCAAGAAACATGAAGGTACATTGTATATGGTGTTTGTAGGGCAGTATCATGCAATTTAAAAGACCATACATACATTTAGTTCAATACGTATCTTGGTACTGAGAACCAAATTGAGTAGAAATTAAGGGTTGGAAGTGTCTATTAGCATGGGGATTTTTGTTGCTTTTATTTTACTTTTTTTTAATGAGGTGATTAGTGAGTTGGGGTTGGCTTGGGTTCTTTTTACTCATTTTTGTTATTGTGCTTCAAATGAACACTGTAGTTCTAATCAGTGTGTATTCTTTATTTTTTGAGGTGAATGACATCTCTCTGCTTGGAGAAAACCACAAGGATGTGGTCAGTATCTTGAAAGAGCTGCCTATTAAGGTGACAATGGTGTGCTGTCGTCCAGTAGCTCCACCTGTTACTCAACCAGAAATACTAGAGAGTCTAAGCCTGTCTGAAGTTCAGCTCACAGAAAAGGTATTTTGTCTTTAAACAATCACTGAAAATGACAGTTTCCTTGAGAAAAAAAGAAGATTAAGTTCTTCTATATGATTAGAAATATATTTTAATATTTTTGGAATTGGAGCCAGTCTAATAGGAAACAGCAAATAATGTTTATATGCTATTTTTAGGCCCCCAGAAGATATGAATCCTGGCTGGTCACAGGCAAAATATTCTAGGATGTGGGGCTTTCTCTCTAAGTACTGTACTTCTTGTCCTGTAGGCAAGATATAGGAGTATAGCAAATTGAACTTGGGTTCTTTAGAATCTGAATGTATTTAATCTAGGTTTGAACTTTGCTACCTGGGTTTGCATTGCACATAGCTGTGTTTGCTTTCCTTGACTTACGCTTCTGTCACTTGTAAGTGCACAGCTCTGGGCAGCCTGGTGAACTAAACATGTAGGAATAGCCTAGGGTGTAGTATATAAAGCAATAGCATTTGTATGAAAAGAGAAACAGTTAACTCTGAGTTCTGAGCAAGGCACCAAATTCGGCTTATAGTTTCTAAACTTCTCTATGAAACCAAGTGAAGAAAAGTCTGTGTATGTACATATTTGTTTGTTTTTACTTTTATTAAATATTCTGGCTACTATAGTATGATTACATTTAATGAAGGCATATTTTAAACATAATATTTAATAACATATATTTCCCATATATTTGAATGCATATACTAAAGAAGTTTTTTGAAGATTTTCATTCGACAGAATTTTCTAAATATTTTTGTCATGAGTAGTTTAATATACTTGCAGCTTGGCTATGAAGGATATGAATTTTGCGTGAGGTTTATCAGTGTTTGTTAAATCTCCTGAGTGCTTGCACTTCTTCTGTGTTTAGAGATATCACTTAGGTTTTATCTTTTTTTTGTAAGCAGGTTTTTGTCTCTAAAGATTCTCAAGTGTTTACATTTTATTGATGAACATTTACTGTTTTTCTCAGGGTCACATAGAGCTTGGATTTGTCGGCTCCTCAAACACAGAGGGAACAACTTTGGAAACAGCTGATAACGGTCAGAGTATGGAAGAGGTGCAAAGCTCGTCTCTGGCAATGTGGGAAACAGAAATACAGCACATTGAGCTGGAGAAAGGGAGTATGGGGCTTGGATTTAGCATATTGGACTATCAGGTAATTTCTGCACTTCTTTGGATGGAGGACAAAATACTTCATATTGTTTGGATCTTGCAGTATGTTCTATGCATTTTAAGGGTCAACATTAATTGAAACCAAGCAATAGAGTAGAACTAATCACAGCTGATAGGCATTCCAGTAATTATATTCCATATTTGTCTCATTGTATTAAGACTACAGTTTCGAATGATAGTAATACTGGTTCAGAAAAACAGATGATCCATTATATGCTAGGGTTTTCAAAAACCTGTCTCCTAGTGATCCAAGGACAAGAAGTTATGTAGCCAGCATATTTAGGCATTTAGCCATGTATTTTGCACCTGCAGTGAGGTGTTTAGGGCAAGATCCAATAAAGGACTTAAATGCTTAAAGCAGGATTTACTAAAATCCAGAACTGTAATTCTGAAATCCCTTGCTTAGCTGCTGTCTGTCGGGGACATGCTTAAACATCCCCATTCATTTTGTGTTTGACTTCAGAATTCCTGGATATCTAAAATATGTTTCTTGGTGTGTCCCAGTCAACAGCTTACTGCCTGTCTCTTGCCTTCACTTGGTAAGGATGTCAGAACAAATATTCCGCCTGTTCCCAGTTTTCCAGTGGATAATTTTTAATTGAATATCAAGTAATTTCTCCCTGAGGTCAATGTAGGCTTTTGCTGAGCTGTGCTGTGGTGCTGTGGGGGTCACATCTCTTTCCAGGTTTCTGCTTGATCTTGTCCATAGAAATGCATTTGCATCTGGACATAACTTCCAGGGGGAAATTATGGCCCCAGGGCACTCCTTACAATTAAGCTATGGCTTAGATTTTGCATTTGCACAGTGATAAAATGAAGAGCAGTGTAGTGTAATAATGTGAAAGATAAAGGTATAGTAAAGTGTCTTTTATGAATGCTGAGCACTGACTACTCTTTAAAGTGTTGCTCATGATGCTCTGCAGTGAGACATCACAGAGGAGACTGAGTGTTTAAGTCCATGTCAGCACTCAGTAGAAGATCTTTTTGCTTCAGCCTCTTTTGAGCATTAACACAAATGGTGGGTGTGTATGTGGTTAGTGACTGAATTTTGTTTATGGATAATAGTACTATAGGCTTGTGGGAAGTGCCTTAAGCTGGTTAACGTATTTTTCAAATATAAGGTAGTATAACTTACATTTTTCAAATAGAAGTTAGTCTTCCAGCTTTACTCAGCTTTCTAACACTTAGCTTTTTTTTGATGTTGCAATATTTGGGTACTGTCATGTGTTCTCTCCTTTGATGTGCAGTAAAAAAATTCCACTTTGTCACTGAAGTTTTTCTTTCTTATAAGACTGTGAACAGTAAATTTACAGGGAGATTTACATTTCTATTTTTCTGTTTCCATCAAATTCTCTATTCATTTTCAGTGAAGGGTGAACTAAACTTAAGGAGATTTGTGCTCGTACTAATGCATTCCTTATCTTTTATACAATGGCAGGCCTGTAGAAAGGTCTGCATAATTTCTAACCCTAAACAGGACTGTCACATAGACCAGAGAGGCTTGTTTTTTTTTTTTCCCCAAAAATGTGTCATGCAGTGCCATCTAAAGTGACAGTGTAAATATTTACTGTTAAAATAGTAAGGAAAATGTCAATGCTCAGCAGCACTGCTAGTTACATTTTGACTTGGGAAGTGTTTTATTGCTCCATGGCATTTTTTTTTTACTGTCATCAAGTGCTAAGGGTCTTCTTGATGTCCTTCCTTCTTTCCTTCACTCCCTCCATCCCTCTCTCTCTCCCTCCCTCCCTCCCTCCATCAATACTTCTCTCTCACACCAGCTTTCAGCGGTCTCCGTATTCCTGTGGCATTTTCATGTTGCTTTGATGGTGTCTGTCCTTTCAGATGTACATCTTGACATAAAAACTTGTTACAGCTGCATGCTGGTCTGTAGATGTTTGCTTTTCTCTACTTTTGCTTTCAGTAAAACTGTTACAGGGTTACATTTTTTGGGTTTTTTTTCTGTTCATGCTCTTAAGTGAACTGCATGTTGGAAGTATTAACATGATGTTCCTTGTGAATGTAGTTCTGTAAGAATTGCAGAAATTTTTTGCGTATGTGATAATTGTTATAGAAGAATTATATATCCCTTTTAATAGTATTTGATGCTAGTTTTTTTTTAATAAAAATCAGTATATTGGAGGATGATCACTTAAAAGCAGTTTTCTTTCTTAAAAGCAAACATCACTTTGTCTTGTTGATTAGTCCTATATATTGGTATGTTCTTCTCTCATGTAAGTGTTTAATTAGGCATGCACAAGGCCTTGCTTCTTGAAAACTACTTTCTCATTTGAGCAATATCATGAAGTACAAGTCAGTTATTGAAAATAAGTAATTTGTTCCACTAGAGTGTATGTGTTACATTTTCCCCCATCTACATTCCCCACCTGTGTCCTCTGAGTGCGAGGGAGGATGGAGTTTGCAACACTGTTGTTACAGTAGGAAGTCTATGAATTTCTGGTGTGCATGAATGACACTGTGCACATATAGTAGTATTTTAAATTGGAGATACATGATGGAACATCACCTAGACAGGAGTAAGAATTTTTACATTTAAGAATTGAAATTAATGGAGGTCTAAATGTATGCACAGTACAGACAGCATGGTTTGCTCCTACTGAGGGTTCATCTAGAGGAGAGCAACATTTCTTAATAACACAACTCTAGTCAATAAAAGGTCATGAATAAAAATTGTCCTCTCAAGATATAAAAGAGTAAAAAAAATTAAATATTTTTCTTCCCTTTTATTTAATTAGGATCCTGTTGATCCAGCAAACACTGTAATTGTAATTCGCTCATTAGTTCCCGGGGGTGTGGCTGAGCAAGATGGCAGACTTCTTCCTGGAGATCGGCTTATGTTTGTCAACGATATCAACTTGGAAAATGGCAGCCTGGAGGAAGCGGTGCAAGCACTGAAAGGAGCCCCGACAGGAACAGTTAAAATAGGAGTTGCCAAACCATTGCCTGTAAGGATTTGGGAATTCAGTGTGTATTTTTCATATAATTGAAGCTGGTACACACTGATCCTGACTTCTCCATACATTTGTGTGTTTTGAGGTACAGTTGGGTGGCCCAAATATTACCTCACATGTAGGAGTAGCTTGGGTAGTATATTGCTGGTGTAGTGATTGCAGGACCTAGCACACATGTCCTGCAGATGAAAAAACAGCAAAACACCTTGCAAACAGCAGAGTCCTTCAGGGCTGAAAGTTGCCATAATATTGTACACTGTACACTTTACATGGTTCTCTGAATGTGTGAGATGGTGACATAAAGTTGGTTTTGATTTGTGTGGAATTTACTGATTCTTTGCTTTGCAAGGTATAGTATTGTTACAGCTGCTATTCTGCTTGGGGAGGTTGTTTTATTTATTCTGGGTGTTGTGTGGGAGAAACAAGAAAACATTCAAGAGGTTCAATAATAAATTTCTACTTGCAAGCTTAAGAACATTAAGGTAGAATAATACTTGGCAAATTTTAAAATGTAGGTATTTTAGTTAGAAATGCAACCATATAAAAGCAAAAAAATAACACTTCAGAAAATGTATATGGGAAAACAGAGAAAAAGAAGGGATAAGGATAGAAAGGTATGTAGTCACCACCCATGGATCCAGTGACAAGACTTGATTATTGCAATTTCAGTGCCCCTTCAAAGTGCTGGTCACAGTCTTGATCCACTGGGGATGGGGGAAACCCTTGAAACACAAAGTTCAAAGAGTTAATACATGCTCAGGCTAGGTGAGAATGCCCAACTACATCCCATGAGGTGGAGAGTTTTACACTGGCTCATGTAACACCATAGATCACGGGGCATTTCTCCCTTTGATGGTTAATGACACCTAAGGTGTTACAGCTTCCTCTCAGGTTACCATAATGGAGCGAATTACAGCCCATGAGAAGGCATGAATACCTTCAGGCTTTATGTGAGTGTCCTGGTAGGTCTCTAGAGGGGAGTTTCACACCTGAGCCACTTGTGTAATGTCATGGATATGATAAAAAGCACCATGGCACCTTTCAGGATTTGCTTTTTACCAGGCTCTTCCCTTATCCGGCTCAAAACCCAGCTTGTAGCCTTAGGTGGTGGGTGTGCACCCCCTCTGTAGCTGGGTGGTTACTTTGTGCTTGGTCAGCAAAGTGCCTGCTGCTTCTGCAAATGTTTGATGCGTTGACGATTAACACTCCAGCCCCTCACAAGTTTCTATGCAATCTTTGTATTTAAATAGCACACTTTGTTTATGTTATATTGTGTGGTCTTCACTTTGTATACATCTAACTGGTTATTTCAGATTTGGTTTTATAAGGTAGTCTGGAAAAATTTGAAAAAGGGGGTTAAAGGTTACCTATGGTCACTGAGATAGTATCGCAGTAAGAATGCTAGTGAACGAGCATCCCTGGTTGGTTAAGTTCAAATCAGGAGAATGGCATTAGTTCATACATACAAGGAAGATACCTTTCTCTATATTAGTAAGTGCAATACAGTTCAAGGGGTACATTTTTGCCTTTCATAAATTTATAATCTTGTAACCCTTATGGATGTAGATACCAAATTTTCATTCTTAGTAGATCTTTGTGGAGAGAGTGGGAGGGAATGTCTATTGTTTAAGTTCCCAGAAACCTTGCTTTTTGTAGTAAGAGAGTACATTTTAACTTGCTCTGCTAAATTAATTTTTTTTTAATTGGAGACTCCATATTAATTGCAATTGAAATTTCATACTCTAGAAGATGCCACTCTAAAAGAGAAAATGCGTGTGGTTTTGTTTCCCTAAAGTTGTAAACATACGGCATTTGCACTTCAATATTTCATGTATTAAGTTTGCCAAGTAATTAAATGTTGCAAATAATCCCTGCTTCTTTTGCAGTACTGGACAAATGCACCTACTATCAAATTATGTTGGAAAAAGGTCTTGGTTTATAGTCAGATTACATTTTGTCCTCTAGAGGCTGACAGATACAATTGTGAAACACAGAGAGTAGATGAAGTCTTCCTGCCTGCAAGCAGGATTGCTCTGTGGCTAGCAAGATTATAAAGACCTCTGCTGTTAGGCTCTTTCTCTGTTGGCAGCTGCGATGGCAGTTTTAGTTTATCTTTATTAAGACCAGAAATTGAAAATGAGCCTAGACTTAACTTGTGGGCTCTGTGGTATACCTGGACAAACCTTTTTCATTATTTGGGGTTTTAGAATGAGGTGTGAAGCTGAATCAATTCAGGTAAATTAAAAAAAAAAAAGTCTCTTTACCCACTGGATACTGTGACTGTGATTAAAATGATCTCTTTGCTGCATTTGGAATCTATTTGCCTTTCTGAACAGCCCCCTGCCCCTCTCAGAATGCACACTGCGCCTGCTGTGTCCAGGCCACTCATCCGACTCAGAGCTTCGTTCTTTCTGCAGCTTTCACCTGAGGAGGGCTATGTCTCTGCTAAGGAAGATTGCTTTTTCTACACTGCCCAGTCACTTGAGGAAGAGGGGCCAGCTGATGCAGCCCTCTTCCATGCTGAGCTGGCTCTGGTTAGTGGCCCGACTTACCACAGATTTCTTCAGTCTTTGCATTTTGTAGTGAGAGGAGTTGCCTTGTCACTGTCCATGCTTATTTTTAGTGTGCACTGTCTCCACATTACTCATCCACCATAGGTGGGATGGATTCTGACTTTGTAGAAACTGGTGTCTAGAGACTTGGTCTTTTTGCATGAGCTATGAATCTGGCCTCTGATATGTTCACTGCTGGGGAAAAAAAAAGTATTTTGCTGATGTTTTCAAAAGTGCATGGCTATCCCCTTGTCCTTGCATGCACTGAACAGCCCTTTGGAAATCTCACCTTTTCAGATGTGCACCTTTTCATGTGCCTATTTTTCTATGTATCATAATACATCACTTTTCTACTGTGGAAGGTTTTTGATATTCCCTTTTTGCATGTAATCCAGCGTTACAAGGAATACTCTGTCTTCAAAAGCTGCAAATACTTCCTCCTAATAATATTCTTCAGCCTTCAACATCAATCAGTGATTATGAGATTTACAAGGTCAAAAGGTCTTCACTTGTACGAACAATGCGGCTTACCTGAGCATTCAGTGCCTTACATAGCCCAGAAGTTGCCAATAAGAACTCAGATTAAAAAGACACAGGACCTAGGGCACAGCAAAAAATCCCCCAACCTCTCCTCCCACAAAATAAAATAAAAAAAAAACAATGAAGCAACAACCCAGAATACACATGTATATGTATGTATTCTAAGTGTGTATTCTCATGGTTGTTTGTTCTGTTCTGGGTCTGATGTTGAAATTATTAGGCCCTCATTTTCTGGGCACCTGAGCAGGGAAGCAGCTTCTAAACATGAGAACTTAGTTCATTAGAGAAAAAGTCAAAATTGAACAAGAACCTGAAATGTATCCTGTCAAGGAGAAAATCTCTGCATTACTGCTTCCAGCAGTTTTGCTGGTTTTTCACATTTGTATATGACAAGCTGATTAATAGCTTGCTTTTAAACAAGACTGCCTGTTTTTAATTCTTCAGTTTGTTACCTTTAGCAGTTAGGTAACAGTATTTTTCTTGCTCCATTCATTTAGAAGAAGCACGAGTTTTGTATTCTAAATAGCCTTTAATTGAAGATATGTTGAAATTATCAAATTCAAACTGTCTAAAAAATTTGACTTCTATCTGTGCTTCAAATAAAAAAAAACTTGTGAAAAAAGCAATGAAAATACATGGCTTAATAAAATTTTCAGTCAAGTTTGTCAGTTGTCTTAATTAAATGTGCAAAATGGGAAATTAAATTTGCAGTCACCCAGCTGAAGATATGTTTTGAGAGTGCACATATAAGATACTGTTTTTCATAGACAAATCGGTACTCAGATTTTACAGATATGTTCTGAATTTTCACAATATTTTTTAGGCCATAGCTTTGGTAAAACGAATATGCATTTTCAAGAAGATGAACTGAGAGTAAGTTACAGCAAAGAAGCAGTTTGGATTAGCAGTTAAGTCTGTGGGCTTGAAATAATAAAAAAAAATAATTCTTTTTACCCTGAAAAGGAATCAGTGTGTTGAATTACTGCAGACTGTTGCTACTGCTATAATGGATTCATAATATGATTAACCACAGGGGCTGAAAAACAAGTTAGATCCCATCTCAGTAGATGGGTGCACTCATCTGCTTCATACAAGTTTATCATATGAGGATGGCTTTTAATCCAGTGATCATTTTGTTGGCCTACAATATGTTCTTGAGCTCTGCCAGGGAGATGAAATAATAATCAAAGTCTAGTGTATGAAGCACCATAAATTAGGGGTTTTAGGGCTTAATTTTATTCTCGTATTTAAAAGAATATGAGTCTTTGAAAAAAATATGTTTCATTTTTTAAAAAAGGCAAAAATACTACCCATGTCAATGTCTGAAACTTTTAAAAATTTTATTTCTCATGTAAGCGTAATAGAAATGTACAAATCCTTATTGTAATTTTGTTGTCAAAAGCAAAATAATTTAAAATCTATTAAAAAAATCACATAAAGATTTTTTCGTATAAATGCACTTAAAAGCTCTGTAGTTTTCGAAATTGTTTTTAAGAGAGTTTAAAAATAACTGATCCTAAGTTGAGTGAAGAGAACATTCCTGACATGTGGCACCAAGTGAAGTTCACTATTTTTTTATTCTTGCTAAAAAAAAATTTAAAAGAAAAAAGAAAAAAACTCTAAAGAAATCAAAATATAGACACCAAAAAGTACAGTGGAATTCTCCCAACACTTTGTACTTCTGTTAATAGGCATGAGCGTGCCTCAGCCCCGCAACTTACTCTGGTTCAGACTCTTGCATTACTTCAGATATTCTTTGCAACCTTTGAAGAAGTAGTAACACAGATTTACTGGAAGCAGAAAGTTTTTCTTCTGCACTGTGCAAATGTAATTTCAATCTAAAACATGGAATGAAAAAGAAAAAGAAGAAAAGTCTCAGTATGTAGTGGCTGGTGTGCATGTGTTTGAGGCTTATGTGATGTGATGGCAACAGCCTGGCTGATTGAATTGCTTTTGTTGTTAGGTGGACTCTGGCGAGGCAGATCTAGCGGATGAGTCCACCTTAGAATCACAGTATTCTCTGGAGAGAGACGTCTTCCAGGACTCAGTGGCAGCTCTGCATGACAGTGCCTGTAGCGGTGAGGTGAACGACAGCTTCTCTCTTCCATTATCAACTCCCAAGGTAAAATTGAGGATGGTTTTATTGATGGCAAACTTTGATTTTAAGTGTGAGCAGGCTGTATTATCAGATAGAAATGTTTTGTGTCATGCTGGTTCAAAATGCTCTATTTGCTAGCAGGGTAAAATTTTGTTTAGAGTAGTGCTGATATCTTGCAGATGTCTTTTTTTGAAGAGAGAAGCACACAGAAGGCACAAAGCTTGGATTTTTGCTAGATAAAGCATGATTTTTGCTAGAAAAAGCATGATTTAGCCAGAGTATGGTGAACTGTTTGTAGTATTAAAGGTGTGGTGAGCAGTCTGCTAGAAAAATATAATTGTCATTCAAAGTATAGTAAAGAGTGGTAACACAAAATTACTCTATTGCTCATATTTTAGTATGAAAAGCAAGGGTAAATTTTCATCCTTATTTTTACTTTTATGCTTCATAATTTGTTTGTTTCTGTGGTTTTGAATGAAATTTTCATAATGATGCTATCATGAAAAGCAAATCCTTGTACGTCAAAACTCTGCTAATAGTTTTTATGTAAAACAATAAATGAAGATTTATTTCAGAGTATTAAGAAGATAATAGCTTTTTTGGTTCTTAGTCACATACCCGTAATGACCTGATTGTGTTATCTTTCTTTCCATGGTTTTTCATGGTTTTTTTTAATCTTTAGATTTTAATATCACTAACCTAGAGCTTTCCAATTCCATTCTCCTAGCAGTCTTCATTGAAAACCACTGGGTTTGCAGTCTGTGGTCTTGAATAGAGTAGCTGCTGCTTTTTCTGCCACACCTGAGCTGCAGTAACTCCCATTAACCATTCTGGAATATGTTTAGCTCTTATGAGGTGCTGGTTAGAAAGCAAGATTAATCTTCTAATGGTTTCTCCTAATCCACAGAAGAGCACATTTCTGCTGTGCCAGTGGGACAGCTTGTATTGTTTAACTCCGTAATTGTTACTTAAATGGATTATGCATTTTACATGCTTAGGAGCATTTTGTGAGATAGAGACTGGATTTACATTATATATCGCATTGAGGCTCTAGAAAGTCTTTAGTTATTTTCACCATTGACTTAAAGATAGCTTTGGTTTACATACTCTATTAAAATACCATGGTCCTGACTTTTCAGCATCTGTCTCTGTACACTAGTATGAAGTTCTCATCAAGTAGCCTATTCATGACTGAAAAAACAAACATAGTGGGAAGATCTGTCTGATGAAGACTTTTGAAGCAAGGAAAATGCAGTAAAAATTAAAACAGCACTGTTTGATGCTGTGAGGATTTCAAAGATATTTCAGTTATTTTTTCAGTTATTTCTGGCTACAGGGCAGTTGGTAGATTCTGCCAGGTCACTTTGGTGTCACATTAAAATAGGTGTTGAAAAACCTATTTTAAATAATGCAGATGCTCTAGTGAGGCCATATGTTACTGTAGTTACGAATTCCTGGAATTGTGTTTGTCCTAAAAATTGCATCATTGGCTTTTCTTTAAGTGAAACAAAAATAAAAATGAGCATATCATGCAACTCTTAATATATGGCATACAAAAGAAATGTTGAGTATGATTTGATGCTTGTTTTCACTGATTTGGAAATGGATATGAAACAAGCTTAAGAGTACATGTCCCATCTGCATTTGAAACCTTGTAAAATAATTTAAATAGATTGTAGTATTGTGTTCTGTTCTCAGAAAGGTAGGAAATTATGTCATTGATTGTATCATGCAGATTAGTTGTATTTAGGCTCTACTCAATTATCTTCTCGGCTATTACTTAAACCACTTATTTACTGGTAAGCCTTTTTTGATTCTTGTCTGGGGACAGAGCAAGCCTGTATGTACTTCATGAAAGTGGACAAAAATGAATTCTAGGGCTCTTGAGACAAAATGTTGCAAAATATCCCCAAATCCTGGGAAGCACATCTCCCCAGCTTTTTGGAGAAGCAGTAGAAGAATTAATAGGACCAGTGGATAACAAGACAGATAGAGGTAGTTGATTTTGAGCTCTCTTATTGCATTTCAGAAAAAAATCTCTAATATTGATACAGAGCCTCTAAGTCTAACTTCTGAGTCCTTGAGACACCTTTTTAAAATCTAATGGCCTAACTATTTTTAAAATAACTTACTTTAAAAGGTCAGCTAGAGAATATTTGAAGTGGATTTTTTTTTCCAGAATGTTGTGATTGTTGAAATCCCTTGAAACATTTCAAAGTCATGGCCTCAGAATTTTGTGTAGGGAACTTAGTCCTAGTAGTGCAGCCATAATTGGTAGATTTGCAATAATTATTAACTAGTAAGCTTCTGCAATTGCATTATTGTATTTCATTGTTGTCACATTTCAAATCCCCCATATTCACCTTTTGCTGAGGTTTGACCTAGTTTTTACTTGTCACTCTCTAAGGAAGAGAAGTCTGAAAGTTTCTGCTCAGTTAAATAGAAGATAGCATTACATTCTTATTGTCTGAGCTGCTTGAAATTCCTCTTTACTTGCTAAGTGTGCTGAAAGTATTGCAGAATTCTTTCACCTGAGAAAAACAACTGTATGCTTGAATTTTAAAAACTTAATGGAGTTATTCAAGTTAAAGTTAGTAACTTGTACTGATTTCTGGTGTTATAAAGCAGAAGAAATGGTCTAAGAAATCAAGTTCACTTTATAGTAGAATGAATGCCTCTAGGGAACTGCAGATGACGTTGGTCTTGCTGATCTCACAGCAATATGTTTAAATTCTATGAGATTAGTTTTTGTTTAAGGTTTTAGCATGAAATGTGGTTTTGAATAATACTGCAAATGAATGGTGATTGTTCATTGTCTCCTGTGTTGAACAGTCTGTTGGAGAGGAATGCCCAAATGCTGCAGGTGATTTCCATGTATCTGAGAAGAATCTGTACAACATGAATCTGAATCAGAGACTGAGAGATGAAAAATCTGTAGTGGACAGTAGCCTGGAAACTGCAAGTGATTTTACTAAAATAGATCTTCTGACTCTGGAAGTTTCAGATATCAACGAGAATGAAAGTGAAAATACAGCAACATGGGCAACATCTCAGACAGCATCAGAAGTTGTGCTAAATACAAGCCTTGCTACTACCACACAGCTTGATCCCAATGAAAAAGTAAATTTTTTTGCCTTTTTTTTTTTTAACAACCATTTAAAAAACATACAGAAAGGCTGTAATTAGACCAAAGAATTTCCTGCAGGAATTGTCACAAGCCAATAGCCATGTATATTTCTTGGATTATTAATTTCCTTTGAATATGTTAGCTCACATCAAAACTTTGGGACATAGACCTTTCCAAAACAAGACAGAATTTATTTTACTGTCATCAAGACAGTATTTTCTCAGAGGCTGGCGGTACAGGGGTATATACAAGTCTTCTCAGACCTTGCATCATTGACACTGCTAGGCACCTCCTGGGAGGGATGGGAGTTTGCTTAGCCCCTGTTAACCTTCACAGGGACATGAGTGCACGTAGGAGGTGCACAGCTGGAATTGGGCCTAGGAAGCCGAGGGGGGGGTGGTGTGAATGTCTTGCATCATGCTGTTCTTGTAAGCCTGTGCAGTTCAGCTCACAAACTGATCTGTGATAGTACAGTGTGCAAACATAATTTTCCTTTATATGACAGTCACTGTGACCTGTGTTTCTTATTTATTCCATTCAGTGATTTATTAAGAAATGCTTAAAAGAGTTGCAATTTCTTACAGGATTTGTTACTTTGTACTGGCAAATTGTTAGACATCTGTGGTGAATGAATGTGAAGCTCTTGAATTCATTATACTAATTTTGATATCTCTAAATTAAAAGCGTGCTTTGTGATAGATGTGATACATTGCCTGAATGAAAACACAATTTATGATATTTAATGAAAATATTGATCTTTGGTGAACTGACTTTTTTGTCTGTATAAGGAATCTGACTTATTTATGTGCATGGGTTTTGTGTAAGGCAAAAGTAGTTGAGATCAGTGTGACCAATCATTTTTATCTTGGTAAACTGAGCTGGTGTTATTTTCCCTTATGTTAGGATCAATTGCTTTTAATGGAAAAGAGATGCCCAGTGTCTTTGGAGGGAAATTCCACACCCCAAAATTCAGTCAAAAACATGTATGAGAAGACTATCACTATTGCAAAAGGCAATTCAAGCCTAGGTAAGTTAGTGAACTTTTTTTGTAAACTCTTCAGGAATATGGCTGTTGGTTTCCCTTGTACGTTCCCTGTTTAATTAGTAAAAAATAAGTATTTTCCATTTAGTGGGAACAGGACATTCATTCTTTGCTGCTCTTTCCCTGTTTGACAGTGATGGCACTGGATCACGCTGTCGTTGTGAACACAAAAGTGAAATGTGCAGTCCAACTGACAATCTGTTCTCCCATAAAGGAGTTTAGTGTTTCCTAAGTGTTTACAGAACAATTTTAATGCATCGTTGTTCAATGTACTAATTTAGTGGAAAAGCAAGATATAGCCAAGGAATGCTGTAGAGGAACACTGTGGTCAAAGAGCTGAAGATGAGGCTTTCAAATATTTGTAAACACAAAATGATCTTGCTTCCTGAGGATGGTCAGATGGGACTAAACATTCCTCAAGTTTGAATCCAAAGTGCCTCAACATTTCTAAAAATCATGTCAGTGATAAATTTAATAGGCAGTATTTTTGGCTTAATAATATTATCGTTTTGTAGTGAAGTTCTAAGTTTTTCAATATCTGCAGTCTGCAACTTCCTGAGCATACTGACTAGAAACATATTTTGGAGTCAACACACACAACAGATGATAATGTTTTTAATTGTCCTGTCCTACTCTCAGATGTGGCTCTGGGCAGTGTGAGGAGGAGAACAGGAATAGAACCCTCTGAGAGCCCATGCTTTGTGTTGACAGGGAAGGCTTTGTGTTGAAAGGCAGTGATGTATGCCTCCTGTTTGTGGCTTGTTTGTTTATTTGGTTTCATTTAGGTTCCTAGTACTGTTTCTTCCAGCCAACTGTATAATCTTGAAGACTCTTTGGGATTGGTAGAGCAGGACTTTGTGTGGGTGCTGGCTAATAACTCTGCAAATGCTTTAAAATGGGCTGTCCACAGAACTGGATGTTTATAAACAGTCCCAAGTCAGGACTTCCTTGCTGTGCAGAGGTGGATGTCAGTTTTTTACAGCTGTGATGCTGTATTTCAGTGGGCATCTTGACATAGAATAAACTGCTTTCTGATGGCTGGATGCTCAGTCTGCCACATACTACCTTCATGAAACAGCCATCCTTCAAAATGGATCTGGTTTAAAATCAGGATCTGAAAAATAAAAAGATGTAGGAAAGGCTGATATGGGTATAAGGTTTATCTTTCATTGGTGTGAGAGGCTTGGTTAACTACTACCTTTACTGGCCTCATTGCCAGGCTGTATGAAGTGTACGTCACAATGCATTTCAAAGCATCTGGATTTTGTAAAAAAAACGTTTCCTTTGCAATAAACTCTTCATTCAGTGGAGTCGGTTTTCATTTATGGATGAATATTTTAAGTGCAGTGAACATCAAAGCAAATTTCATCTCAAGCTTGATATGGCATGAAAATACAAACTTCAGCAGGGTCCATATTGGCAGACATTTTATGCATAAAAAATAAGACTGGTCTTGATATGTACAAAATATGAATGTGAATATTGCTTTCTTCTGGCTTTTGACTGAAGCGTTTTTCTTCCAGTCTGAGTGTGCTCTGGCCTGGGAAGCAGCTTCAGCACAATGACCAGTTTATGCACATGGCTGCACTGCTTTTACCCTTCATTTTTAAAAAAACAGCTAAGTCAAGAGCTATGAATGATGTTGCAAGCTGCAGCTGCATGGATTAAATAATTGAGGGTTAGGAACTGGCACTTCTTTTTTCCTTTCAAATGGTGTCACCCATATTTTGCAGCAGCTCTTTAATGCCAGCCGCTGCTGGAGCTCTAACATTTTGACTGTGATTTTTTAAAAGATGAGAAGCACCCAAATGCAGAAGGGCTGAAATGCCATTGTCCTGCAAAAAGTTTGGCAACTTTACAGTGGAATTTGCATTTTTAATCTGAAACTGTAGGTTTCCAAAGTGTGACATCAGGCTTTCAGATCTGTAATGATGGTGTCAGCATAGGAAAAGGGAAAGAGTGTCTGTTGTATGTGTGATGTTTTCCTAAAGTGCTGTTATACTACCCTCAGTAATGTCTGTTACTATTTTAACCAAACAGCAAGGTTAGGTTCAGAATTTCAAACCACATGTTGAAAAAATAAAAAGTTTTTATTAAGCAGTATTAAGATAGTGGAAGTCCACTGAGTGGACTTCAGGGTTCCAGCCCTGCCTTTCCCACTGCCTTAGTGAAGAACTAAGTTTTTCCTGTAACTGTTATTAGGGTCTGTTTCATGAACAGACCTGCCTGAAGATAACAGTGACAACTCATGTGTGTAAGAACAGTCACAATGATGCATGAAGGCCATCATAAGTCAGTCCCTATAGGTTCCCCATGGGAGAGGAGATGCCAAGAGGATATCCGTCTTATTCCCATTACTGGAAAGAAAGTGGAATTAAAGGGTATAAATATTGAGAAGCAGTATCCTTCTGCTTAAAGTAAAATATTGGGCTGTATCCATTAGCAATGTACAGACTTTCACAGAAGTCAGAATGCTCTTCTGGGTCTAAGCTACGGCCCACCTAAGAGAGCGGGAAGACAACCAGCATCTCAGTGGGATCTGATTCATGCTTTCTGTGAAAGTAAGTGTGCATTTGTTTTCGGCTAATAATTACCTGTTTAATCATTCCACCTTTCCAAATAGAGTTGTCATAAACAAAAGTAAATGTGTATAAACTCAGTGAACCATTAAAAGAGTGGTGATTTTAAATGGTTTTTAAGTAATTTCATTATCTTTCTTATTTTTTGCTTAAATATTCTGCTGTCTTAATTTTTCTTGTATTGAACTGAGTATGTAAACTGATAACAAGGTAAAGTTACTGTAACTGTGATTTGTAGTTGCTGTCTCAAAGGAGGAGAGTAAGAGCAATGTTTATAGGCTTGGTGATACTGGCAGGTTGGCTGGCTGACTTTTCCTTTCCCTGTGCCCCATTTCTTTATCTTGGCACCCAGAGCTGTGACTCAAAGACAATAACTGTTTCATGTGTTTTTACTATAGGGATGACAGTAAGTTCCAATAAAGATGGTTTGGGAATGATAGTTCGCAGTATCATCCATGGAGGCTCAATAAGTCGTGATGGACGGATTGGTGTTGGGGACTGCATCCTGTCCATTAATGAAGAGTCAACCACTAACTTAACCAATGCACAAGCCCGGGCTATGCTGAGACGACATTCACTCATTGGACCAGACATAAAGTAGGTAAAACTAGATGATGAGTTATGGTAGGAAAAAGCTGATAATCAGTTTTTTTTAAATTTATGCAAGTCTTTAAATGAAAATTTTGTTATTACACATCAATTTAAGTTGCAGCATCAGATGGATAATTCACCTTCAGATTACATTTCCATGGATTTCAAAGATGAAATCACTTAAGTGAGAGGCTTCAGATATTCTTAGAAATCGCTGTCATGAGTATCATCATTATTACTGTCCTGCCTAGTTTTATGGGAAAAATAGGATTAGACAGAATTTTGCATTCATAGTATGACTCTTCTGAGGAAAGTTACAATTTTCTCAAGATGTTTGTGGTTCTTGAAGGTGAACTCTCCCAGCCGTTGCACAAGTAATTTCATCTAGTTTTTTTCATGGCTTTTGGTTTTGGGTGCCAGACAGAAAGTGTGAAATATGATGTCAGTGCAGAAAATTAATGCTTAAAACATTTCAGTATGTCTATGACAAACATTAGAAACACTGTTTTCTGTAGGCACTTCCAATTTTTTATTAGTACACATGAATGAGCTGTTGCTCTTGTGCACAGTCTGCTCTTGGTAGTAGTAGTTTCAAATTTCCAATAGTTAATACAAGTTTTGAGAACCCCTTTTGTGGAGAAAGTTTCTTTTCCTCAGGTTCACAAAATTGCAAAATTTTAACTGCCTTAAAGTACAATTCTTTCTAATTGCTGTGGTTGTGGAATTAACTTTGCCTACAAAAAGCATCTGGGAATGAGGCTGTTCCTGAAGATGTGGGTGGAACTGTAGGAACACCGATGCTGAGTTTACAGCTTCAAAACCTAATGACTGTTTTCTCTGTTTAGCCTGTGGTAACATTTATTGGGTCAGATATGGAAAGGGATTAATGGAGTTGTTCATAATAGACGCCTCTACTTATTGGTAAGGGTGTCCTTGAAAGGATCAGTCCAGTCCCAGTGTGGTTATGGGTGTAACTGAGGTTAAAACTGGGTTCAGAATGGATAGCAGGGCATTCCATACTCGCCCAGAAGTATTCTAGCTTGGAAGAGATCTAGTGTTTTGGGAACAGGTGGGCAAAGTACCTTCACAATGGCTACTGGGGTTACTTGCCTGCCCTATAGCTGTCATACATTTAAGATTATGATTTAATGTAAGCCTGTTTAAATAAAGGGATATGCTCATAAAATGAATTACATTATTGTTAATGCTCTCAGGAATATAAGCGAGTCAGTGTTGATAAAGTCTGACGTTGATAAAGTCTGATTATTACTGTAGGGTTCCAAACTATGACTCCCTATGTCATGATTGAAGTCAGTTGTATGTGCACATGCATGTGTGTGTGTATCTGCTTACAGACACAAATGCTGCAGCACTATTATTCTATGAGGAGTCTTTCCTCATGCTATAGTTCATAATCATAGTACTACATAGTATGTCCACTATTTGTGCTTATGCTTTTATAGCTGCTCTATTTTATGCTGGGTGACTACAAATTTTGTTCTGTAGTCTTATTCTTTTGCAGTTATGTTGGAAATACTAAAATCTTGCCTTAGGTGTGGATATTCAGATTTTCCAGTGAAAAATGCATCCCATTTCTGAAAGATACTGCAGAAAAGGAGCGATTGCTATTCATATTCTTACTCAATATTTTTGTCTTTTGCTTTGTATTTATGTTCTTTTTTGCATTCCTGTGACAAGTTTTAAGAGTTTTTTCCCTCCACTTTAGAAAGTATTTTTCTCCACTTTAGAAACAGAAAGACTAAATCCATTGGTAGTTTCTAAAGGAGTCTTGCAAGAAAAATGACAGTATTTTTGTGACTACATAATTTTGCTGTAGTACTATTCAGCATAATCAAACTTTTGTTTTATTTTTAACTTGAATGAGCAGTACAGGATCTCAGAAAAATATTATGATACAAACATGAGGCTAACACCCCAAATCAGAAATTTGGAGATGAGGAGCTTCATGTTAAGCTTCACCCCTCCCCCATTCCCCTCCCATATTTGTCAATTCAGAGCTGATGTGGTGCATCACCTTGCAGCATTTTTGATTTAAGGGTCATCATTTCAAAGATTTAAGTTGAATCTCTGCTGTCTGCCTTGGAAAACAAGGGTATGCTAGCATTCAGACGTGACCATCTAGATATCATTCCTCTTAGTCCTTACTTCAAAATTTGGCCTTTGTAGATTGATTTTTTGGGTAGCTGGGTGGCCCAGAAAAGTGATTAAGCAGAAGTATTTTGCTTCCAAAGCTGTATTTCAAATAGTAGCAAATAGTACTTGCAGATAAAACACAAAGCTGTTCTTACAGGCCATGTAAAGGCATTCTTTAATTCTGTTGAAGGATATTTGATTTTCAATAGTTCAAGAACAAGTAGCCTGAGTTTTAGAGTTGTGTATTTAATTTTTTTCCCCTCTGTGTATAGAAAAATGCCCTACTGAATGCTTTCTGTTTCACTTCTCACTTTACCTTGCCAGAACCTCTTGTATTTCTGTAATAAAGTCAGTGTTTTATGCTCAGCAGCAGAGGCTTGAAACATCTGTCAGATAATTATAAAGCTGAATTAGAATTCACCTGATTGAATGGGGGGGATGAATTCCTGATCAAGAAATGCGAGAGATTGCAATTCAATTTTTCATGCCTCTTAATAATCAGTGCTATAGACAATGATAAAGAGCAGATGTTTTCTGGGTTAGATGTAGATGAAGTGGAGGTGGAACAGGAGAAAAAAAAAGGAAAGGAAGAAAAAAAAAAACAACAGCTCACACTTCTATGTACATAAGTATGCCTCTCACATTCAGCATGAGACATTGATATTAATTAACACCATTGTAAAAAGATGCTGCATCGTATGCTTCACGTTCTAGATCTTCTCCAGCACCTGCTGATGATCAGGCCCTGTGTTATGTGTGAGTATTGGCAATTCAGAAACTCATTATGGCTCTGTGTTGCAAGTTGTCTGTAAAATCATTCCATGCTTTTATGATATCAATAGTAATGTCAGGGATATATCCAGATATAGGTACATATTCTCTTTCTTCTCATGTATATTTGTCTGTGCATGCACATGTGGCTGCACATGCGGATGTGTATATATATTTTTTAATTAAGAAAGATACAACTGTGTGTGTATAATTGTATTATATATTTATATGTGGCTTTAAATTTGAAGATTGGAGCATACTTTCTAAGTCTGGAATGAAAATACCTGTATTCTAAAAAAAAATATTGCTAATATATTTAAATTTCATCTATGACAGCCACCCAAGATGTGCTCAGAGCAGGTGTGCATATTGTGTGTATGTGTACATGGTTCACTTCTAGAATTGGCATGAGTACAATGTACTGATATCTGGATTAATCTCAGTGTCATATTTTCTGTGGCACTTACATTTTCCTTCCTTCATATATGCAAAGGTTCAAATTGAACCTTAAATGTTAATTACAGTAATTTGTCCTAAGCATTTTCCATACTTGTAATTTATTTGTTGATGTTTCAAGGTTTTGTGTGGCTGTTCAGTCAAGCATGTGATAAATGTTCCTCTGTACTGCATGCAGTGTTGTGTTTACAAGATACTTTCATAAGTAAAACCATTGGTGTTTCCATTGTCACTGCTTTAGTTGCTAGTGCATATTTCTGGGGGTAGGAGAAATGGTGATAGCTCTTAAGAAAGAAGACCAGAACACTTTTCTTTCAAGCTTTACAGCTACAAAAGAGAAGAAGATGGTTAAACCATGCATATGCTTTCCTTTGAAATTGTTGAACTTTTATTTCTCTTGCAGCAAAGAAATATGACACAGAAGTGGAGCATACATTTATTTATTTTGTTTTCTCTGCCTTCATGTCTGTTTTCTGGCCCTTGTTTCTCTTACGTTCTTCCCTGTAGCTGTATTAAGACAATTACCAGTCTGTTTTGCAGATGAACTGGTGCCTTGGTGGGGTTTTATTTCTGCTTTACAGCACAAAGTTCAACAGAGTTAGCCAGAGGAGCCAAAAACACTTCTTGTTCTGTGCTCCTCATCATCCCAGCTACTGGCTGGGCTGTTCAGGATGATGCTGAATGTCTTCAGACCTCACTTTGACCTCCAAGTGAGCTCCAGCAGCAATCCAGCAAATGATGGATTTGATAACTGTGAGGTGTCTGCCCATGAGCACTAAGCAGGGCAATACTCTTTCATTTCAATAATAACAGGCAGAACAGAGAGAGTAGGAGGACAGTCACGTCAGTAATACAAGTAATAAGAGCAGTTAGTGAAACCTTTGCTGTTAACTGGACTTTAGAAATCATGAGCAAGATACAAAGATGGACTCCACACAGAATATAACTTTTCATGTATTTGATCCATGTAATTTGTTTTTCTTTTGTATGTTATTTTTGTGCAAAATGCAAGTGTTCTGGTTTAAGTTTTTAAAATAACTGAAGTGTTACAGAGACCTAGGTAAGAATGAACATGTAGATAAGAATGAGCTGTTAAAACCATAATGAATGTTCATTTGAGTGCTTTACACTAGGCTATTAGAACTGTAGTTAAGCACTAGAATACAATTAATGTGTTTTTTCCAAAGAACTAAAATGTAACAGGTGCCAGTGAGATTATCTAAATTTTATTCCATCTGTGGAAATCAATTAGGATAATTCAGATATTCAGTTTTAGATCCATTTTTTAAAACTGGCAAAACAAACCTATTTTCTTTTTAATTCCAGTGCTGTACACAGAAAAGGAAGCTAGGGCAGCTTTTCAGAGACATTTCTAAGTAGCCTTTAAAACTCTTGGAGAGCATCCTTTGAGTCATACCTTTTTAGTGATTCAGCACAATGTCAGTTATTTAATCATATAACAAAACACAATAGGGTATCCCAGAAGTTGGAGTGCATATGGTTTGCCTCCCCCTTGAGATCAGCTGATCTCAAGTGCTCATGCATAGGGTAAGGACAACTGCTGTCATTGGACCTTGGCACTCTGCATAATTGCTTGCCTTGTTCTCCTTTCAGAACAGGACTAGACAAGAGTTGATATATAACGGCACTGTACTATCAGAGGTCACGCTCTGCTATATATATTCAGGCTGAATCTGGGATAACCTATTTCCTTGGTAGGACTGTCCCATTCTCCTTTTCATACTTATAGCTTCCAGCTTCAGTTTAGCATAAAGGAGATTGTCCAGGCCTTCTAGCCAGAAGTTCTGGTTTCTTAACTGTATCTTTCTGTCAAGGGAAAACTACATTATTTCCTACTTATTTTTATAAGTGATGAATATAACTGAATGAATGTTACATTTTCTTACATTGAAATGTAACTTACAGATCTTAACAGTTTTTGTAGAGGCAAGGTATTCTTGTGTACCTGTTGGGTGAAGCTGCTGCATCAGCATTTGACCCATGAGAGTTTTGTGAGCATAATACTAGTATTTCGCTGTAGCTCAGTACACTTGGAGTTGGAGATGGCTGAGAAATATTAGTCATTATTCTCCAAAATTCTTTTCTCTCTTACTTCTTCCTATTTTACTGCTGGGTCTTTGCAGAATAGATGCTGCATGTCTTTAGCATTTTGCAGTGCTAGAATGCCCTCAGAAAAGGCAGATAGTGCTGAGAGTTTGTTTCCAAGTGTATATTAACTTCTCAGCACTCCAAAATGATTATATGTTGTGTCAAGTGGAGTAAGACTTACATGTTTGAAAAAAGGCCAGTTCAGAACAGGGAGATTTATATGGATTACATGGTTTTAGAAATTTCCATTAAAAGAACTAGGAAGTTCCTTCTGTTCAGCACCCTAGGCACTTCTTTTCACTTTTCTAGATATGGTAGGTGTGAGAGAAGGTAGGGAACATGCTTGGACACATACACAGATGGACAAATTAAGGTGACCCTTATAATAGTTTTTGGTAGTGTTTTAGACTGATAGCATTAGTCATATAAAATTTTATTTGTGTTTGTTCTGATACTTGATGTATTCAGCAGAAAACTACTGAGACAGTGGAATCAGTGGTAATCAGGGTATGACAAAGATGGCATCAGTCAGGAATGATGGACAGGAGACAGCTCCATGTGAAAGCCTCAGACTTGAAAGGGTCTCTTCCCAGCAGCTTACATATCCTTGTGAAGTGGCCAAGGCCTTTTATTTTTGATTTAGCCCTGTCTCTTCTATGGGGAAATATGTGTGACAGTGTTCACAGGGGTTCTTGGATGAGGGAAGAGACGAGGATCTGACTCCATGTTTCAGAAGGCTTGATTTATTATTTTATGATATATATTACATTAAAACTATACTAAAAGAATAGAAGAAAGGATTTCATCAGAAAGCTAGCTAAGAATAGAATAGGAAGGAATGATAACAAAAGTTTGTGGCTTGGCTCTCTGTCCAAGCCAACTGGGCTGTGGCCATTAATTACAAACATCCAACATGAGCCAATCAAAGATTCACCTGTTGCATTCCACAGCAGCAAATAATCAATGTTTACATTTTGTTCCTGAGGCCTCTCAGCTTCTCAGGAGGAAAAATCCTAAGGAAAGGATTTTTCATAAAAGATGTCTGAGACAAATATGTTATTTTTTTCTTTGAACAATGTGATGTATGGCAAAAGAGACTTTTTCCTGCCATTTTTCCATCAGCCTTACTTCTTGATATACTTTAGTATGATAGCTAAGCTGTAGTTTTTTAGAGCTCAGAGGAAGGCTACCTAAGTAGCCCTGCTTATATCATGGAAGATACTGTTGTATCCTTTTGCCTCCCAGATGGAAGCTTTTCAAGAAATATTCTCCACGTCTTAATCGTTTTTCCCCTCTTTGCTTCACTCTTCCCCAGTCTATTGGACTGTTTCTGGCATTCAAACATCAAGTGGAGTCTGTACATCATTTTTCTGATGAAATACGACTCTCTGACTGTTCTAAACTGGTTAGAAGTGCATGAAGATCTGGGGGAAGGAGTTGAGCAGGGGATTGGTCTCTGTGGCATAGGTGGTGTGCCTTAACACACTTTTATGTCCAAACCTATGAAGTATTCTTCACTAAAAGCATAGAAATCTAAAATAAATACAAAACCACCCATAAAAGCACAAAACCTCCTACAGGCCAACTTTCAGAAACATTTTCAGCGGTCATTAAGTGTGGTAATGGTGCCTCAAACCTCACAGATCCTTCAGTGTTTCTCTTTGCATGATGAATCTGTGCTTTGAATGAAGCTGGATTGTCTCTTGTTACTGTCACTGTTCAAGCACCATTTACTTTAATTACAAAAAATTATGTGCTCTTCAGCTACCTAATTTGACTATAGATGTATACTTGTTGCAAAGTCGCAAAGGATTTGTGTGAGTGCTTATTCCCAGCATACCAGCGCTGTTGCTTTGAAGTCAAACAAAGTAGTCTTGAGTGGCTTCCTCATATCCATAACTCGCCCCCACTAAAGGGAGGACTGGCATTCCCTATGCTAGTTTAATCATGTCCCATTTTATTGCAGTATTACATATGTGCCAGCAGAAAATTTAGACGAGTACAGGGCCAGTCTGGGACAACAGACAGAGGGAACAGTGCCACTTGAACTTTTTCCTTCACATATTGTGAGGTGAGTCGAAAGGCATACAGCTTTCTCCCAAATAGCTTGCTTTCCATACACCTTGCACATTTTGGAAATAAAAGTTTTATTTTAGAAGAGGTGAAAGATGGATGATTTTCTTCAGACTGGCAGCAAAAACAGTAAAAAGCTGTTAAAAATAGAGTTTTTGCTTTGACTAGCAAATTGTTAAGCGTTTTTACAAGTCTTTTTGATCTGTCCAAAAAGAAGTTTGAATTCTTTCTTATCCTAAATTTCTCTTAAATACTATGCAATTGGACTTATGGATTGCCACAAATACTGAAGTGCTTCCAACATAAGACTTTGGTATCAATGGTTATTCCAGAACATAACTGGAAAGAATAAATTGTGTCATTCTTTTCCTTCAGTTTCAAAAATTCATTGCAGTTACTGTCCAGAATTTCAAAGTGATTAATACTCGGATTTTTGCAATTTATCTCCAAAAGCAGTAAATTTAGTTGAGTGCTGCTATTGTAATTTCTTCCATTTTGAAAGCAGTAAATTACCTTTAGCTTTGATTTGGTTGTAGTTCCAAATTGCACTTTGTTGTTCTGTGTTGCGGATAGAAACTTCATTGCAGATAAGAAGTGGATAGGGAATCCCTGAACACCGTATGTATTCTAAAAGACATGAGAAAAAGAAGTTCCTTACCTGAATCCGATGCACAAATTCTGAAACTGTCAGGGTTACTCAATATATGAAATTTTTCAGAAAAATCTAGTGATTATGTGGATTCTTTAGGAATTAATTGCATGCTCGTGTTTATTATCAGGGAACTTCCAGAGCTTCCAGAACGTGAAGAGGGGGAGGGAGAAGAAAGCGAACTTCAAAATGCAGCTTTAAGTAACTGGAACCAGCCCAGAAAGTAAGTGCACATCTTGAACATTATAAAATGTCATCTGAAATTCAAAAATTCCAAAACATATTTTTAGAAGAGGAAAAAACAATAGAATTCTTGCACTTATGTATGTTGTGCATTGCTGCAGTAATTAATGATTGACTTTTACTGCCATTGAGCTAAATCCCTGCAGTCTAGAAGTGTCTTGATTGTTACAGTAATTTATCTCTGCTTATTCCAAGCTGACTTGCAGGGATCAAGTCAAAAAAGAAGAAGAGAAAGATTCAAAGTTTCTATTAGAACTCAAAACAAGCTGACCAATACTAAACTCAGAGTTTCTGATCAATCCAGTAAATAACTTCCACTGAAAGACAAAACTTTGCAAGGAGGAGTTATTTTCAAACAGTTTTTCAAAAGAATTTTTCAAAATAATTGTGCAAATCCAGGTGTCTTCAGTGTGCGTCTTTGTCATAATCACAACAGATTTTAATTTAGTTTGGTCCTTTTCTTATCACAAAAGGGTTGAACTCTGGAGAGAGCCTAGCAAGTCACTGGGCATCAGCATTGTTGGAGGACGAGGGATGGGAAGCCGCCTGAGCAATGGAGAAGTGATGAGAGGGATTTTTATCAAACACATCCTGGAAGACAGCCCAGCTGGCAAAAATGGAACACTGAAAACTGGAGATCGGATTGTAGAGGTACCATCTGAATGCCTTTTGCTGCAATTCCTCCAGCATCTCAGGAGTCACTGAGATGAATGTATGGTGGGCTGACAGCTGTGCAATTGCCACAGCTGATACCACTTGAACCACACAGACTGTAGTACCATCTGCTGATGTTTGTGTGCAGACAGCTGCCTGTTAAGTTGAATATTCAATGTGAAACATATGACTGACTGTGTGAGCAGGGGTCTACAAAGCCAGCAGTTTGACTTGCCTATTTGAAAACCAGAATGTGTAGGAAAAAGCTTAAGTTTGGTGAAACAAAAAGATTTTTCACCTTTTGTACTTTTTCACTGGGTAGCAATAGAAACAGCCAGTGCAAACCATGTAAAATGAATGCCAAGGTTATTTCCATCAGAAATCTTAACTGATTCAAATAGTTCTTATGTGTCTTGTGCAGGAGTAAAGGGAGGCACATTTTTTTTTCTCCTGACATGAAGAAATCTGTGTTTGATACTTGAGACATGAAGAACGTTTTGCCCATTCCTCAGTATAATGTATCCAGTGGTATTGCAGGGTAGGATTTATCTTCATTTCTCTTCTACATAGCTAGTCCAGTGCTCATGCAGCCACTTCTGCTTTTGTCACTTAAAGATACTGCAGAATGAACATACTGAAGGGAATAGATCTTTCCTGTCAGACATTGCCCTATCTCCAGTGTCAGGCTAATAGAAACTGCCTCCATGTAACCCTGCTGGATGTCCTTAGCTGACTGTCCATCAGTAAGAAGCCCAACAAGCAGAGTGATGGAGTTGGTAATTCTGGCTCACACTGGGCTTGACTTACATGGTGGTACTAAAACTGCAGTTTGCTGTTTGCTACAATACCGATATTGAGGATCTTGAAATAATACCTTAGTATAGGTGGCACTTTCTATAACAGGGATGGAACAATTTGCCGTGTATAAGAAGTTGGGAGGTGGAATTTTGCTTGAAGGCCACAAAGTTAAAAACATTCTTTTCACCTGAATAACTGGATTTTTGTGAGTGCAATTGTCTCTGACAGTGATGCTTGCGGAAACTTGAATGGGTGAGTGAAATCAAAATGTTATGTTAATGTGACTGTTTCTGAATGAACGGTTTCAGTTTCTCAAGTTGTGGCATATGTAAACTTCCATCTCTGCAGTGCATACAGTTTTTCAGACATGGGAAGTTGGAGAGTATTATTGTTCTTGTTCAGTTGCTCATAGGTTTAGAATTTCTCTCAGATTGTTTTTGTGCTATCTTATTTGCATTGTGTGATAAAGTTTAAGGTAGAGTTAGACTCTTAAAAAGTTGTAGGGGTAATCTTCATCATATAAGTTTGTGTGCTTATAATTGTCACTAACAAATAACCTTTTTGTGTTAGCTTCTAGCTTTTATTGTGGTCATTGTGACAATACTTTACTGATGCTAACCTCACCTTAACATTGTTCTTACCTGGATAACAGGACAAAATGTTTTACACAGCCATACATATACAGACATGAAAAATAACACCAACCAGGTGCAAATTTGTCCTTAGCCATCCTGTGTACATGCATTTTTCCAGAAGATAAAAAGATTTTCAGCTCTAAAAATTTAACTTCTGAAGTGTCTAATAGCTAAAATTAATCTTATTTTGCTTTAGGAAAAAAAAAACAAAACAACAAGATAAAAGAAAAAAGTACACTGTACTGGCTTAATACCCCATCAGGAAAGACTTTCCAGCACCTAACAAGTTTCAGTTTTAAAGTCTCATAAAGTCCTGGGTAATAGTTTTTTCTTAAGGTGGGGTTTGCAGGATGCAATATTTGGTAAACGCTCCTACTCTCTTCAGATTATCATCTCTCTTCTGTTACATTGCTTGTGGGAAAACTTAGGGAGTCTGAACTAAAAATGTTGGAAAACATTTTTAAAACAGAGGAATAAGAGAATATTTATTTGATGTTCTATTAGTGCTCTTGGAAATCCTAAACCTGTGTTTGAAGAACCTCAGGCCAAATCTGTAGAAAGGTCCACTAAAAACAGAGGGTTGGGCTTAGGTTTTAGTCAAAGTTTCCTAACCAAAACTCAGAACCGACTCATGACTCTTGTAGCTTCTTGCAATGTTAAGATGAGGCCTTCCAATTACAGGTGGATGGAATTGACCTCAGAGATGCCAGCCACGAACAAGCTGTGGAAGCCATACGGAAGGCAGGCAATCCTGTAGTCTTTATGGTACAGAGCATTATAAGCAGACCAAGGGTAAGCATAAAGAATGTGAAAAGAGATGTAATACATAGTAATAGATGAAGCAAATGTTCAAGATGGTGGTATTTGGGAATGGGATATTTAATCCTGAAAGTGCCATCTCAACTATTTTAGGAACAAAGATTTGATTTAAGTATTATTTCCATTTAGAATGAAATCGATTTGGATTTGGAAATACCCTCCAGCACGCCGTCCTCAAACTATTTTGAAAAGCCTCAAGAAAGATAATTTATTGGGGGGCAGAGTAGGAGTCTAACTAAAACCATCTGTTAGAGATTGACAGCATGTCTGAGGAGCGCATGCAGAAATACAGCACCTGTTAAAAAATTCTGTGGACATTAATGAAAAGACCTAGAAGTACACGGAAGTTTTCCGTCACTAAGCTGCATGGACGTTGCAGACAAAAGCTACAGTGCTTTAATATAAATTCCTTGCATCACTAGAAACTAAACTTCCTCTTTTTAGAGTCTGTGTAAGCTGCATGTTTATTTACTAGTTGTCTCATAACTCTTGTTCCCCAGCCAGAGTCTCTTTATAGCCCTTCTTCAGCTTCTGCTCCCTGTGGGCAGAAAACTACTAACCCATTTTATCGTCAGTCATCTAAGGTAAAGTTGCATGAAAAAGCTCTGTTGAATGTTGATTATTGACACTCAAACTACTAAAGTAATGCTTTTGTATTTGCTGTCATGTGAACAGAATTGCTGCTACTGAATGTTTATGCCAATTTGGAATGGAAATGATGCCATTACTATATCACTACTTTTACTTAGAGAATGCTCCTTTGTTATTTTTGATTGTAGTTCTTTATTCTCTATTTTCAAATTAAGCTTGTTGGTTATTTCTTGACTGTACTAACAAACTCTTGTTTCTCTGTAAGCAGAAACATTGCAAATGCTCTTCCTGTACTCATACATTATGTTGTGATCGTCATAAATGGCATTATGATTTTATTTTCATCTTTTGAAGCTTGCATTTGTACTTAATAAGATCCTACTACATAATATGAATTTCCTGCTTTCATTCGTGTCCAGTCACCCCCATAGCTAGCTACCTGCACACATGAGCTATAATTATTATGGTACCACTATGTATTTAACCAGGCAGTCGGTTTTAAGTGACATGTAGCTAATGAGTCCATTTCTTCTGTTTTGTTTCATGCAAGGTTTAGCAGTTAAGACTCAGTTAAGAGAGCCTGTGTGTACTCCAGAACAGCCTGAATAATGCAATTGTCCTGTGAAAAGACAGTGATAGTTTTGTTAATGAGGAGTTACCCATCAAGTCTGTGTTTCATACCTATACCCCTCCGTGTATTTCTGAGTAAGAAACAATATATCACTGTGATTATGGTCCCTCCCATAGTAGTGTTACAGCATTATACCGTATGAAATGCTAGCTAGTTTCTGATAACTTAGCATCTTGGACACATGGATAAAATTCTGAATGGAAGTTAGTTGAAAAAAGGAAATAACAGAAAGAAAAAATCCTGTTACTTTAGGCTGTGTTTTGAATTTTAAAAGATAAAGAGAGAACTCCCTTTATTTAGCATTTACTCCTCTTGTCCTAGACTGCACAAAAAGTATGCTAAACTGAACTGTTCAGGCAAATTCAAATGCCCCATATTTTGTCATAATAGTCAGTTCATATTAATACAATGCTGTTGCATGGATTAGTATTAGGGTTAGTATTTTAGGACATCATGACAAAATGAAAAAGGCACAATTTTGAATGACTGTAGCTGAACTTTTGTTGTTTTACTAGGATTGTACTGTTGATTTATGAAGTGTTTGTGATAATTATTTTAATTGCCTAAAATTTCAACAAGATATATTTTAAATTTCTATGCAGAGAACATGTAAATTTTAAAGTGTAATAGGGTGATTACAGTAACAATTTACTTTTCACAAACCTTTCTTCATAATATTAAAAATCAAATGGGAATCACAAATACAGAAAATATTGTACCCTAGGGAAACAGCCTGTTGACTTTGAATGACTTGACAGTGAAGAAAATTTTGTCATTCATGGCATTACTTTGTCACTGCTGAAGATACAGTAGAGCCAAGACATTTGCTGTCTTACCAAATAGAATTACTTTTTTGCAACATGGTATTTGAAAATAAATGTTTAGAGATGTGTTTACTATTTTCAGGAGCATTTAAAAAAACAAATGCTTTAAGAAATTTTTTAAATAGCACTGTAACTTTTGATTAAATTACTCTTGGTACGAATGATCCTGGAAGATTTTCACATTTCTGTCCATACTATTTTCCAGCAGTGTTAAATTTACAGCCCTTAGACTTAGAGGTAATTGCCAGATGGATACAACCAGTGTAGAAATTACTTCTAAGTATACACAGTATATTTCCAACATACTATTTGAAATCAAAGCTGTTTCCTCCTTATTAAGCAGATTCTGATCTCAAAATAGAATACAGTACAAATACTGCTTAAGGAATATAAATGGTCAAATTATATCCTTTTATCTGGTTTAAATGTGTAAACTCTTTTTCTGGTAAATGGTAATGAGAGAGTACCTTGCTTCAGGGGAAGACCGGAGTATTTTGTTTCAAGAAACTATAAATTCAGGCAGTTACACATGCATATGTGCATATACAAAGTGTTCTGGGAAATGTATTATTAGATATAAAATCTGCTTAGTGATGCCTAATATTACTATGCCCTCACTTTTACAAAATAAACAGTGAATGTATTACCACAGAAGTTAAATTATGAGAATCTGTGGTTTTCAAAATAAGACTAAAGCTATTGCATTATTACAGATATTTGTGTTCATCCTAACCCAGAAATCCACAATTAATTAATGTCTAAGAGTGTCCCATATGTTGGGAAAAAATTTTTCAAATATCACAGCAACAGCACATAAATGCAGCGTAATTCTGCACTTGATGTACTTCGTGGTCTAGAACAGGTGTGAGGATTGGTGCTTTTCCTCTCTGCTGACAGAGCATCAGAAACGCAGGGCAAATACACTTTTGCCCAATTTCACATATCTGTGGCAAGTGCAGAACTTGGACCTTGTTCAGTTAGCCCAGACAACAAAATGAATATGTTTTGGTTCATGATTAAAAAGGGTTCATTTAAAACTTTTTTTTTGCTTAGTTTCTATTATGCTTTCCTTTTAGAACCCTTCCCTGCCTTTTCTGCAGAACAGTGTTTTCAGTAGGCCAGCTGTCTTCAGCAGCACTAACCCATTTGCTGATTCTTCTCAGTTCAACACTGCTAAGGTCGGATGATGACACACTATCTTTTCACTCACTAAACATCCTATGTGTGCTTTTTTTTCATTGGTGTCTCTCTGCATTTAAATTCTTTTATACTAGTTTGAGTTATGTGCTGTGCTGATGAGCTTGAGAACTCTATGTAGTGAATTTAAAGACACAGACATGCATATACATAGAAAAGTTATGGAGAAGTTAAAAAATGCCAGCTCCATTAATCATAACCACTAAAGCTGATCTATTCAGAGCTACCAAAGGAATAGGTTTTCAATTATAGGATCAGTCCCTGATGTATATTTTAAAATACCTAAGCGTAACTCTCTCATCAGTCTAAGGTCTTTTGCTGCTATGTACTTCTTTTTGGTTTTTTGTGGTTCTGACATTCCAGCTTTGATATTTTTCTTTTATTTTTGCATTAAAAAAACCCCAAACTTGCAGTTTTTTTTTATGATGCTTCATGGAAATATTTTCCCTCTGCTTCTTGAAAATTCTTTTCATGCACCATGATTAGGATGCTGAAGTCTTTGGAAATAAAAAAAAAGTTAGACTCTTTTTTTTTGTGGGTAGTGCATACTTACTGCATGTTATTCACAATAGAAACAGCGCTAATCTCTAATAAAAATACTTTATCCTAATATGCATGCATTTTTGATTTAATAAAATAATTTATAGCTGGTTTTACATCTTGCAAGTGATTGTGCCCTTTGTCTATTTTCCCATGTTGTTGAAAATATTGAATGTGCAACAAACACTTATGATATGTGGTGTGTAATTGCATGTGTGTTTTGAAATCACTTTTTGTGTTTGTTACAGTTCTGAGGAAAGGGAGTAGACATGTGACATAAATGATGACTTGTGTTTTCTATTTTTTTAAAAGTATTTCTGAAAAAACATTGCATGCATTTTAAGAGAAATCCTGATGATTCTGTAGTTTATGCATAATTCCTTTCTTAGCGTTGATGTAAGAATGGCCTTTTGTCATCTCTCCTTTTCTGAACTCAGGTTCATGTATAGTGAGAAACTTTGATGAATCAGGGTCCTTAGTAACCCCTCAAATACTTTTGTCCGTTTATAAATCAAGTTAATAAAGTTGTTGCAGTTAGCAAAATGAATCCGTAATTGAAAATGAGATATTGGTTAATATTACTGTGTATTGCCAAAGATGCTATAACATGTGGATTGCTGTTTTCTGTTACTGTAGGAGGTATCGAATCCAATTAGGGTTACCTTCCGTTGTTCCCCAACTAACCCTTTTGCTCCCACACCATTCAAGGTTTGTCTTAATTCCCGTCAGTTGGTCCTACTGTATGTGTGCTGTACATTTGTACATGGACTGTGATAACTTCTGGAGTGCTGCTTCTTTTCTGCCTGTTCCTTCAACTTTTCAAGTTCGAGACTTGCTGCAATTTTCAGTATTTGCTTGGCTGTGACCAGAGTGACCCTGGTAGCTAAATGGGTTCAGCAACTGTTGGATGCTTTGCATTTTAAATGAAATACTGTGGTGTGGCACACTGAAAGTATTTCATGAGTTAAAGCCTTTTAGGTTTCTGTGTGTTGCCCGATTCAGGGAGCAAAAGTCTTATGTGTGTGTAAACTGTGGGGACTGGCTTCTGCTTCTGGCTGTTCAAATCTGTCAGGCTCAGTTCTGCAGGCAGGACATGTTCCACTCCCCACAAATGGCATTGTAGCACAGTTTTTACCCTCCTACAAAGGACACTTGCTTTTACTTTCATTTCAGCATTTTCTTAAACCTCAAAAACGTTCAGATTACGTTATGTTGTTATACATTCACAATGGTACAAAAAGATGGTTTTTTTGTCAGTCCTATTATGGTGGCAGCAGTTAATAAGTGCTAATCTGTCAGGATGTAGCCCAACATCCACACCTTGCAAATCTTCCAGAGATCCTTTACACCAATATATTGTTCCTTTTTTTGGTTTCATTAAGTTTTGCTGTTCTTGGACACTGTCATTTACAAACAGTACCTCTAAAGTAATATATTAATTTTGGTTTTAAAACATGAAAACTAAAGTTCGCTGATGTGGTTTGATCTCACACTTGTACTGGATTTGTGTTGCAAGATAATGGTAGTAGGGGAGGCTATGGGGGTGACTTTTGTGATATTTTTTCTCCTTTGTCCAGCCGAAGAAGGAAATGATAGAGCACCTTTGGTGGGCACCTAGCCTTCAGACAGGGTCAACCCACCATGATGCCATATTTCCTCATTTTTCCAGGATATTATTTAGCTTTAGTAAAACTCTGGGAAGACCTCTGAAAAAAGAGTTTTTCTAGAATGTCTCTCCCTTTTGCCCTTTCTCAATGTGGAGGTATTACCAACTTTTCTTTTTGTGCACACATGAATTTTTGATTGTGAAAAATAACGTTTAATGTTACTAAGCAGTGTTTCTACTGTTCTCTGATTCTGGTAGGTGACAATGTCTGTGCTAGAATTTTGTTGCTTCAGCTTAGGAATGTTAGGTATCATCTTAGGAGGATGACATTTTCTTAGATAAATTATTTGCTTTGGTGTCACTTCCCACACTTTTGAGATTTAGTGACTTCTTAGTTAAGCTCCTCTAAGAAGTTCCTAAATGAAAGGAGCTCCTTTCCTCTTCCTTGAGCAGAAGCAGAATGAGAGAACTGAAATAGGGCATTTTCAATATCTTTATCTTTGGAGTTAATAGTGAAGATAAGTAATTTTTGTTTAGACATGGGACCTTTCTTAAATTTCAAAATGAACTAAACTGGTACCTTCCCAGGTTTCTCAACACCTTCAGTTTGAAACTGATGAATTTTTCCAAGGTGTATGTTGTTATTCATTTCACTGTTGCCTGTGAATGAAGAGATTATTACCTAAGTGATTTTGGCACCTAAAGGCATGATCAGAGGTACTGTGTTCAAATTTTATGATGAAAGTAGTGAGAACTGAAATGATGAGAATAGGGTTATGAAGTGAGGGCAACACACCTGAAAATTTGAGTGTTGTAAAAACTTGATTTTTATTTAAAATTTTGTTTACTTCAGTAGCCAATCTGCCAAGTATCAAGGTCTCTTGGGCGTACATAAGTAAAGAATGATGATATTCACAGAGAGGTTTCTTGCTTGTATGTTTACTTCAAGCAAGGAAAAATTATACAAATTTCACGTAGCAAAATTCCTTATCAGACTCCATATTCCTCAAGGAAGCTGTCTTGAATGAAAGCTTTCAAGGCTGTGGATTTGGGCATTTAACCATTATATTGCAGTAGTAGTGCGTTTATACCTCTTTGTGTAAATATGGATAGAACACATCAAGTATCTGTCTCTTGTGATTTAACCTGTATCCTCATTTATTTGATCTTCTCTGTGCAGCTGGTAAGAAACTAGTAAATGAGACTGAAAAGATCCAGTCACTATGGATTTCTTCTGTTTAATTTTGGTTTTTAACTCTCCTTTCAGTTAATATGCCAATTGCTTTTTTTTTTTTCCTGTAGCTATTTATTCCCAGTTTGTTTTTCTTTTTGCTTTCTCTTTCCTCATATTTGGCTTCCTAAGCATATGATTGTAGGGAATTACATGTGATGACTCTTAAAATTGGTTATAAATCTTTCACAAATCTGGCATTAAAACAAAAGCACTTGAGTCTTTGTTAGAGGCTTTTTCTGAAACATAAAGTGGCACATAAAACTTTACTGAATTGGGCTTTTACTGTGAGTTGTTTGCTTCCAGATACATTTTGGAGTGATGTTTTTTTCTTACCTTGCCTGGTGTTTGTTTCTGTCTTTGATCTCTCTGCCTTTCTGTGTGCTGTTATTAATTTAGAGTTTCAGCTGCTTGGTATTGAAACTTTAAAGCTATAGTCATTGCCATTTTGACATTTTTGTGTACTAGTTTGCCCTACAGAGAGCCTGCATCTTCTTAGCCACTTCATTTTTCTTATTCTCCACAGGCATTTGGTCAGTCTGATATGGAGCCAGAAAAGACTTCGCTTTGTAACTTGCCTCTGCCCCCTCCTTCACCATTTTCAGGAATGAGCTCTGATGTTGCACAGTCATCTTCTATCAGGGTCCCAGAAGATGTGGAGAAGGAGGATGAGTACGGTTACAGCTGGAGTAAGTTTTTCCTGTGATAATATTTGAAATGCTTAGTATTAAAATAGCACTGTAAAAGACACAGGTGTGGAGGCATCCAGTTTGAACTGCTTCTTTCTCATGTGCATCATGGTTTGGGTGCTAAGGTTGCTATTTTAGTTGTGCTTGGTCAGATGCACATAGAAAAAAAAAAAGATTTTGTCCATGGTTCCAGTTCAATGTAGGACAACTTGAAGAATTCAGTATACTCCAGGTAACTGTTGGCAGTGATCAATATGATAGTATCTATTACCTGAAAGTGTTACTGGAGAGAAGATTGCTTCTTTTGTGTATGAATTTTTTTAAAGAAAATTTATAATATTTTCTGAAGGTATAAGGAAAACAAGAAGCTAGAAATACTATTATAAATCACCTAAGGCTTAGTTTAAAAGAGGGTGTGGTTTACACTGAAAATTTAATCATCCATTTTGGGCTTCTTCTGTCAGATACTGCACACTGATCTTGACTCTAGGTGACTTGTGAAACTTTCTAATGTAAATCCAACCTCTGCTACCTATACTTTTACATTTAGAAAAGATCATGCAGCGCTATGGAAATCTACCAGGGGAACTACACATGATTGAGCTGGAAAAAGGAAAGACAGGTCTGGGAATTAGTCTTGCTGGTAACAAAGACCGATCCAGGATGAGTGTCTTTATAGTGGGAATTGATCCAAATGGAGCAGCTGGAAAAGATGGGAGGTTGCAGATTGCAGATGAGTTGCTAGAGGTGAGTTTTTGCAATTTATACTGAAGCCCAAATGTACTGACTTCAATACCAGATTCTTGCTAAAATGTGTATGTTTTTCAGTAGACTTTGAAATCCCAAGTTTATCCAAGTTCATATCACTATGCTATAAGATTTTCCTTTTGATCTATGCCAAATAGGTGTAGTGGATTTTTTCCTGGTTATAATTACACCAAGTTATGGGTTAGATCCCTGTATGCACCATTCACTTAAGAGTGGGACTCAGTGATCCTTGTGGGTCCCTTCCAACTCAGAAGATTCTGCAATTATGAATGATGGTGTGTTGAATAGAAATATGGGACGACTGCTGTTTCTGAGTTACTGAGATGTGTGGAATGGCAGTGAATTGCAGGCCATGAAAAATATCGAAGTCCTCCAGTCCATCCATCTGTGCAGTATTCTAGAGTTTCTAATTACTTTCCTGTTTACTAGAAGTGTGATAATAGCAGAATATTTTTATATTGCGTAACACAGAATGTGGAAATTAAATTGGGGAAACAGGAATGGATCTATTTTTATTATAGACTTCTAACTCATGATATGTTTGGGTGCTGTTTTCTAGTGGAGTGGAGTGACTGAACCACTAAACATGCAACTAACATTTCAAGTACATGTGTGAGCATAATTTATGTTTCTATACTCCCACAGCCCAGTTGATGGTACTTGGAGATGTATTCTCTACTAGAGCTTTTCCCATTCTTTCTGATAGCAGTAGGTAACATTACCCTCACAGAATTGCTTTGTGTAACTTCAAAGCTCTATGTGGAAGTGTTGGGGATGTACTGGCAAAGTGGTACAGAGTGGGAATGGTGAATCCAAATAAAACTTGAGGGAGACATTGAGAAAGTAAATTACATTGGCTGGAATTTGCAGACTAGGAAAAAAATTAAGGGATTTTTGGCACTGTGGACCAAGACTAATGGAGGGAACTTTGTTGCAGATTCCAGTATTGTGAGACAGTTCACTTTAAGCATCCGTTTTTAAAATCCCGAAGTGGAAGAGGTGGAATATTCTGAAAACATGTTGACACATGTCTGTCTGAAGCTATTGTCTTGTGATTTCTTGGTTACTGTCCACACTATAAACTTGCAGACTACTGCTAAGAAATTGCCTCAACCTCTTCTGAGAGGAGATGTCTGGGCCAACATTGAGGGCCATGTCCCATCCCCCCACTTGGCAGCCTGACCATGTATTTTTCAAAAGGCTGTGGCAAACACTGGAAGGAGTGCTGCATTTGGGTTGTGAATTCCGGTGTAAAGGACAGAGCTTGGAATCCCTGCAACCATGCCTGATGCACACACCCTGCATAGGAGGTGGTTGGTGTTATGCTCATCCCTCAGTACAGTGTCTTGCATCTGTTGCTTTGCTGTGTCTTTGCTTCTGTTAGTCCTACCTATGTGCATTTTATTGCTTTCCCTTTGTGTAGGTCCAGACTGTCCTTTTTCAGTCGTTTCTCTTCAGTTAACTTCAGCACTGAAAAGTTTTTTTTCATTTTCAAATGCAACTAATAAAATGCTAACAAATAATGGGCTTAGTCTGCAAATTCACACTGATAGCTCCTCTCCTGTCTGAATTGTAGGCATTTCAAGGTGTTACAGTGACTAGTCTGCTCTACCAAATGGAAAAAAGATTGCCAGGTCACATCTTCAGATAATAAGTGTGGAGTCTAGAATAGCTTGGGTTGGAAGGGACCTTAAGGGTCGTCTACTTGCAAGTCTTCCTCAATGGCCTGGGTTGCCAACCATGAGATCAAGTTGCTCTGGTCCCATTCAGTCTGGCCTTGAACACTTCCAGGGGTGGAGCATCCACAGCTTCTCTGGGCAACCTGTTCCAGGACCTCACTATTGTCTCGGTAGAGTTTTTCCCTGCCATCTAATCTAAAACTTCCTTCTTTCAGTTTAAAACCATTGCCAAAACCAAACCATTAAAACCTTTGTCATAACCCTATCACCCCGCATAAAAAGTTACTCTTCCTCTTTTTTGTAAGCTCCTTTTAAGTTCTGAAAGGCTGCAGTAATGTATCTCCAGAGTTTTCTCTTCTCCAGGCTAAACAACCTCAACTCTCTCAGCCTATCTTGACAGGACAGGTGCTCCAGCCCTCTGATCATATTCCTGGCCCTCCTGTGGAGCTGCGCTGACAGATTCACATCTTTCTTGTGCTAAGAACTCCATAACCGGATGCAGTACTTGAGGTAGGGTCTCACGTGGGCAGAGTGCAGCTTCCTTGACCTTCTAGGCACAACTCTTTGGATGCAGCCCAGGATGACATTAGCCTTCCCAGTCTGTACTCTTATCTTGGATTGTCCCAACCCAGGTGCAGGACCTTGTAATTGGACTTGTTGCACCTCATGAGATTCCTGCAGGTCCATTTGACAAGTGAGTCTAGGTCTTTCAGATGGCACCCCATCTTTATGTTGTGTCAGCTACACCACTCATCTTCATGTCATCTGCAAATCTGATGAGGGTGTACTTGATCTCTTCATCTGTTTCATTGATAAAGATATTAAAGAGCCCGTCCCAGGACAGAGCCCTGACTTGTCACAAGCCTCCACCTGGACACACAGCCATTGATCACAACTCTATGGCTGCCTCCATCCAGCCAGTTCATTATCCACCAAATAGTCCACCCTTCAAATATCTCTATCTAGTTTGAAGATAGGGACATTGTGTGGACCTTTGTCAAAGGCCTTCTAGAGGATTTAGTAGGTGTCGCTGGCTGTGCTGGCTGAGATCATCTCCTTGTCTTCTATGTGCGTTAACATTGCTTCCATGAGGATCTGCTTCATGATGTTTCCAGGTACAGAGATAGGGCTCAATGGTCTGTGGTTTTCTGGAGGTTCCTTTCTCCACTTTCAAGAAATGAGTGATATTTTCTTTTTTCTAGTCACTGGGGACTTTACCTGACTTCTTAAGTAGGATGGAGAGTGCCTTGGCAACTCCATCAGCCAGTTCCCTCAGGAACTTGGATTGCAGATCATCATACCCCATTGACTTGTGCCTATTCAGTTTCATCAAGTGGTCTCAAACTTGCTTTTTGCTTACAGTGGGAGAGACTTTGCTTCTCCCAACCTCCACCTAGAGGTTCAGTAACTTGAGAGATGTGAGAGGCCAGACTGTCATTGAAGACTGAGGTGAAGAACTTTAGGAGTTCCTCACCCTTCTCCATATCCATTGTCACCAACTGTCCATTCTTAATTGTTAGGGAGGTACACTCTCCTTGGTCTTTCTTTTCTGACTTCTACTTATAGAACCCCTTCTGATTTCTCTTCTCATCCCTTGCCAAAGCCTCTTTCTTCTGTGCCTTAATATTCCTAAACCCATCTCTACACCCATCCAAACCATATCTATGTACTCTTCCCAGATCATCTGTCCCTAGTTCCACTGGCTATGCATTTCTTTCTTACTCCTCAATTTGAGGAGCAGGTCCTTGTTCAGCCATGTTGGTTTCCAGCTTGCCTAAGTTGATTTCTTACACACGGGGATGGAGAATCCTGAAAAAGCAACTAGTGCTGGTGAGGTCCTGTCCCTAAGGACAGTTTCTGAGGGAATCTCATCCACTAATTCTTTTAACAGATGGAAGTCCCTTATTCTTAAGATAAGGGTCAGTTCTGACTCTGCCTTTTTTCCAAGCCCATGTTCCTTGAGATCAGTAATTTAAGCAGGGCATGGTCACTACAGCCAAGGCTGCCTCCATCTCAATCTTACTAACAAGCTTATCTGCACTGGTGAGCACCAGGTCCAGTAACACTGCCTCTCTGGTTGGTTTGTCCAATACCAGGATCAGGAAGTTGTCCTCAGTGCACTCCAGGAGTCTTCTGGATTGCTTGCAGTCAGCTGTACCACTTTCCCAGCAGACATGCAGGTGGTTGAAATCCCCCATCAGGATGAAAGCATGCAAGCATGATGATTTCTGTATCTCAAGTAAGAAGTCAACAGACTTGCAGATATCAGGCACCCTGTGGTAGACTCCAGCCACAAAGTGTCCCTCACTGATGCTGTCCTTAATTTTTACCCACAAGCTCCTGAGCTGCCCCTTCTTGCCAGCCTCTTTCTTCTGAGAAGGTTGTAGCCCTTGATTGAAATGTTCCAGTTGTGCGATTCATCCCACCAGGTTTCTGTGTCTAGCTAGGTTATAGACTTTGAATCGCATGATTCTGGTGCAATCGAGGAACTGGTTTCAGTTTTTCTTGCTTGTTACCCATGCTGCCCATACTGGCGTAGAGGCACTTAAGCTGGATTGTCAACCTCTTCACCTTCTGAGAAGAAGCCTCCTTAGTACATCCCCTTCCGTCTTCCTCATCAAATCTAGTTTAAAACTCTGCTAAATGTACCAGTGTTCAGACTTCTATGTAAAAAGTGCCTGGCTCAGGGATTTGAAGTGCCTGAGATTCAATAAAGAATAGCAATCTCATTGCAGGATGTAAGCAATTCATTTATTTGTTATGGTTAGAATTTCCCATGGCCCTGCTTAATCACCTCATCAGTCATGAAGTGATCAATGGCAAGTGAAAATAGATTATGTGCCAAGTCAACCCAATATAACTTAGAGAATGACATTTTTAGCACTGTGAAAGTGTTAGTCTGAAGTCATACCATGGAGAATATTTTTACTGAAAAAAGGGAGTGAAAGTAAGACATAACACTTATTTTTATGCAGTTTCTGTTTAGTCAGTGATATGGATTGTTTTAAGGCTAAAAAATTAGTTTAAGTGTAAGGAATTAAAATATTTTGATAAATAATTGCTGCTTTTCCTTATCTAGATAAATGGCCAAATCCTTTATGGAAGGACTCATCAGAACGCTTCTTCAATAATCAAATGCGCACCATCTAAAGTTAAAGTAATCTTCATCAGGTAAGTTCTGATTTAAGATTTGGCTGGAAAGGTTTAATTTTTAATGTGCTCAAGTTTCAAATAGCATTTGTTATTTTTAATTTTGGTAACATAGATGTACTTTTGAAGACAATCTTACTACTTGTTAAATATGTCTTGTAGTTTTCTGTTTTGATATTTGTATTGTGAGTGCCAGAAATTAAGAACCAGACTTAAACTTGTCCTAAGAAATATGGGGCGGTACTATTGCCTTCTTATTACATCTTTTAACTGAATATATTGCAGAAACAAGGATGCAGTAAATCAGATGGCTGTTTGCCCTGCAAAGTCAGTAGAGGCTTCACAGTGTACTTCAGGAACACTTCAACATCAAGAGGTAAAGTAAATATTTGTTTTCCTTATTTGACCAAAATACTAACATTGTTCTGGATAGAGGAGGATCCTGTCTGCTTAGTAAATACAGTAAAAGAAAAGGAAACTCATAGAAAAACAAGTAAGATTTTAGTAAAGTTGCTAAATTTAGTACAGCTGTCATCAATTTTGTTTCGTTTTATATTCTTCTATACTATGAAGTAAGTCTAATATTCCCATCAGTAAAGTTTTAGAAGCTTAGGCAAAACTAGAAAATGAGCAGACTTGCTTTAAATATTTGCGCACTTCTTTGTTTTGGTGCAAAATGTTGGATATAGTCACTTACAGTTGCATTTTATTTTTCTCTTAGATTGACATCAGTGTTGCAAATCCAAGTGCATTTTCTGACTTAAGTTCATGTAAAAACATTCAGTACGTGGAACTTCCTAAGGTGTGTACTGAATTTACATCAGTCAATAGCCATTCAATTTTGTAATGCTGTCCCTCTTACAGCAAACAGACCCTCAGTTACTAGAAGTTGGAAAAGAGATTTCTAGAGATCTACTCTTCCTGTTTGGGAATGGATCTCAAAGTTTTCCTCACAGAAAGACTGTTTTTGATTTGCTAATTGCTTTGTGTCTCTGGAAGAAGTATTCTCTTGTTCTATTTGCCCAACTTCTTATAACCATCGCTACTGATGGTTCCTCAGGTGAAATCAATGCCCTAATTGTTCAAAGTAAAAAGCGAATAACAATTTACCTTGTAGATTTCAAAGGAAGGGATTTGAATTTAAAAGTGTTTCAGATTTATCTTGGTAGTCAGTATACTGTTTGTTTGGCAGAATCTATTCCAGAAATAGTTTAAAACAAAAATATTGGTGCATTGTGAAACCTCAGACTTGATATATCAGCAGGCTTCACTAGTCTTTAGTGATTGTATTCTAACATTTTGATGTCACAGTATTTAACCATTTGCATTTTCTGTTTGCCCCAGGATCAAGGAGGCTTTGGAATTGCCATTAGTGAAGAAGACACAACTAATGGAGTAGTTATTAAAAGCTTAACAGATCACGGTGCGGCTGCAAAGGTGTGAGAACATTTAAAATCTAATAAGGGAATGAAGAACGTTTTTTGGAGTAGCATCCATAGTTTATATTTTTTATTTTATGTTTTTCCAGGATGGACGTATCAAAGTTGGAGATGTGATTCTGGCAGTTGATGATGAAATTGTTGTGGGATATCCTGTAGAAAAGGTGCTTCTGAAGTGTCAGGAATGTTACAGAAAGCACACTGCTTAATGTAGGAGGTGATCGTGTCTTAAACTAGTGAAGTTCTCATGACTATACTTAATTTTCAAACCTGACTAAAAAAATCAAAGATCTGCAGGCACTGTCTGGAAAAGAAAACTACTGCGAAATAAGCTAAAGCCTAATAAATTTATAGCTCAACTGTTATTTTACATTAATGCACTACATGAATCCTCCTATCTCTGCTTCAAATGTGGTTTTATTTTCCCTGTGGTTCAGACCTGATGACTGAGAGACTTAGTAGTGTGATAAAAGCCATGAACTATTGCTCAGTAATGACTCTGCATAGCTAGTCCACTTTAAAGGTGTTAGAACCAGTAAAACTAATAAGTGTAAATTAGCATGAGTGAGTTGTTTCAGTGGTAAATCAAGTCATAAACTGTGCTTATCCATGGGAACTGTCTGTAGTAACAGTCTCATTATATTCCAAGCCTAGTATTTCAAACCTTTGGAGAAAAATACCTCCATTCCTAAATAACAAGATTTATTTCTAGCTTCTAGCTCTGCAAACTCAATTTGGGTTCTGTAGTAAATCAAGGAGGCTGTTTTTCTAGCACCTACCTTGCTACCAAGAAAAGTGATTCTTTAGGCATGAGTAGATTACTTTCTGTTTGTTAAAGGGCAATTAGGAGAGCATCAATCTTATTCTTTGATGTGCTGCTATCTCTGAGGCAGTAAATAAGTAAGAAATAGTGAAGTTGCCTGTAAGGAGGTACGGGTAGATAAGGTTTGTAAGAACAGAGATTGAGTAAGTAATTTCTGAAAATATCTCTACTGAAATGTAAAGTCTCAAGAGGATTTGGTGTCTGTTCTGTAAGATGGCAATTGATTTTAGAGGGTCTTCAGTATCTCTTTGAACTAGATTTTGCATTACACCTTGGTGTCTATCTCTCCTTTCCATAGTTCAGGTAGTATTTTCAGGCTTTTATTCCAGAAGGACAGTTGCACATTTCTTTGGTTCACTAGATATTTTGGCATTGACTTCTGCGAGATCAGAATTGGGCTCCACCCAGCATTAAAAGGCAATACTTCTGTTTCTCCAATAATTGCTATACAATATAGTATTTTGTCTAGAGAAACAATTGAAAAACTGCCATATTGTCATCTATTATAGTTTGGCAGAGTTTCATGGAAAAAATTTTCTTAGAAAAAACATCAATATTTGTGTTTGTTCATTATGAGAAAACCTGCAAGATTGTGACAAGTAGCTCCAGTTTGCAGAACTGTTACTCTACTTTATTTTTGAACGATCCAGTTACAGTTTTCATAGGCTTTTCTCTGTATAATTCAGTTTATTAGTCTCCTGAAGACATCCAAATCTGTGGTGAGGCTTACAATCAACCCAACAGAGACAGATAACCTGACTACAGCACCAGCCCTTCCCAGCACTGTCCCAGCAGAGAAGAGGAATATGCAACCACCAGCAGCTGTCCCAACTTCCAGCTCACCAGAACCAGAAGCAGTCAAAAGTATTGTTTCCTTGTGTGTCTGTATTCCTATGTGTGTCTGTATTACAGCTGGGGTTGTAACATAAAAACAGAGACCCAGCTTGTAAGTTTTCCCCTTTTGTGTGCACTGAGTTGTCTTCTGCATTTTCTAGTATTTCCAGATTACAGCAGCAGATATGCAGCAGGTGCCTCTGCTGTGGTTGTCTAGAACTAAGTGAAAGGCATTCCTTTAGGTGAGGGAGAAAAGTCATGTCAATTTTTGTGGAAAAAAACGATGGTTGAGAATGTCTTGCCATTTATGACTAGCCACATTTGGCTCTTCTCCTTAAGAGTGGAGTGTCAAGATGTTTCTGATGGATGCTAGTCATTGGTTAAGCAAGACACTTCAAAGTTAATAATAATTCAAGTAATGCACACATCATATAGATGTTTAACTTAAGTTCTATCCTAAATAGAATGTCTGCTTTGGCTGTCAGGACTATAATCCAGGTACTTGATGGCATAAAAGCTACAGGAGGCATGCAAATAAAACTACAGGATAGTATTTCTCTGAGGAGGAGGGAGAATTGGGAGCATCATTCTCTGTGGATCAGATGTTCAGTTACTGCTATACAGCTGTCAGTGAACTCTGAAAAATGCTGTTACTGTAACCAGGATGTTTCATTGTTGTTTTAGACACAAGCAGGTCTTCAACTCCAGCCATGTTAATCTCTGACCCAGCTACTTGTCCCATCATTCCTGGATGTGAAACAACCATTGATATCTCCAAAGGAAGGACTGGTCTTGGGCTGAGCATTGTTGGAGGAGCGGACACTTTGCTGGTTCGTTGGAAAAATATGTGTCAGTCATGTGAAATAACAGTAATGAAAATAGAGTCTGATAGAAGAGATTTTTTTGTCATTTGTTTTAAAGTATTTATAGAAAGACACAAAAGAAACAAAAAACAAGAAAAAAAACCCTTTCTAAAATTAAAAGTAAAAATGAGCTTCGTAAATATTTTGGTAATTTTTCATCATGCATCTGACTTTCATTCCATCTGACTTTTCACTGATGAATTATAGTAGCAATTTTCAGTTACTTTTGGTTCAAAATGGTGGCTTTTCTTTCAACATGAAATTTTGATGTTGTTTTTGTTGTCAGGGAGCAATCATTATCCATGAGGTATATGAAGAAGGAGCAGCATCTAAAGATGGACGACTGTGGGCTGGTGATCAGATACTAGAGGCATGGTGATTTCTTTGGTTGTTTTTGTTTTCATTGCTGGCTAAGCCTTTTGTATTTGTCTGCTGGAAGATGCTGCACAATTTGCCATTGTACACTTTCATTGCAGGTGAATGGAATTGACCTCAGGAATGCCACACATGATGAGGCCATTAATGTCCTCCGTCAGACACCCCAAAAAGTTCGCCTGACTGTGTACAGAGATGAAGCCCAGTACAAGGAGGAAGACATGTATGATGTGCTGAATATAGAGCTCCAGAAGAAGCCTGGTAAAGGCCTTGGGCTGAGTATTGTTGGGAAGAGGTATGTAATGTACCTGGAGATTCAGTGTCTGGAACTTGCTTATCATGTTTCTTTGTGGTTTGGTGCTCAGATCCTGTGGGCTTGAAGGCCATACATCTTACTTTTGTGCTTAAGCTAACCAGTCTTCCCTGGAGGGACTAAGCCAGTGTTATTCAACAGAAAAATGAGACAATGTTTATCTGTGTTCCCAATAGAAAGCCATAAACATTGCCATCAAACAATACTTTAATGTAAAATTCATGTGTGTATTTGCAGAAATGACACAGGTGTGTTTGTGTCAGACATCGTCAAAGGAGGAATAGCAGATACAGATGGGAGATTGATGCAAGGAGACCAGATATTGACAGTGAATGGAGAAGATGTCCGAAATGCTAACCAGGAGGCTGTTGCAGCTTTGCTAAAGGTATTGGGGAAAAGAGAAGGTGGATAATAGTGAAAAACTGAGATCCAGGTTTTTTGAAAGCTTTAACTTTATTCAGACTGAGATGAGAGTGTTACTGAGATGTCAGTGAGATGACTTGGGGATCCAGCTTTAAGCTTCCTGAAATCTAGAGCACTCAGATTTTGAAACTTTGCCTGATAAAACTGAAAGTAGTGGTGGTGCAGAAAGCCATATATTAATGAACATGGGGCTGATAGATTACCTTTATAGAATATCATTACCTAGAACAGCTGAAAACTTAGCACTGTATTCTGTCGAACACACTGATAGCTGGTTAACTGTTTTGCATTTTCAGAAAGATATGCAGAACTGACTTCGAATGATGGAGAATTCAGCAGAGTAGTTGTGCTAGAAATGACTACTTTCATAGTTTATTTACAAGGCCCTGTAGTGACAGGACAAGAGGATATGATTTTAAACCGGAAGAGTAAGTTTTATTAGTTGTTAGGCATAAATTCTTTAATGAAAGAAATGAGGAGGGAGATGCAATGAGGATGGTGAGGCACTGGAATAGAATGTCCAGAGGAGTGTGGATGCCCTGTCCCTGGAAGTGTACAAGGCCAGGTTGGATGGGGCTCTGAGTAACCTGGTCTACTAGGAGACATTAATCTTTTTTTTTTTACTGGTATGTTTTGTACCACCTTACATCCATTAAATTGTACAATGCATTTTTCAGTTACCAAATATTCGGTATAAGAAACTGCTTTCTCAGAGTTTGCTGAGGTAACTACCTGCAGCTCTTGGAGACAACCTATTCTTGATATTTTTTTTTCTGATGTCCTTCCCCTATTTGCAAATCAGAATGAAGTCAGATACACAATATTTCCTGTAGTCTGCCAAGAAATCCAGCTGGTTAACTACCTTGTCTGTTTGTCAGTCCAGAGTTTTGAGACATGCTGCATGGTAAGGATTCCACTGAGTCAGCATTTTCAATGGAAAACTGTTTCACTGGAAAAAAATTAACAGATGTTAGTTGTAGGTGTCTCTTGCATACATAGGCACATGGTCATGCTTCTTAACACTCAGATTCAAAGGTATATTTTTTCAGATCTTGAGCAGGTCCTTGAGATTTTGGATTTATTGGGGAGCAGGGGTCCTAGGGGAGAGCAGTGGTCAGAAAGGGAGATATGAGGACTTCTGTATTTTCAGTCTGTGCCCATTAGTGAGAATGCCGGAACAGGATCTATGTTGTGACACTGAACTTGTTAGTATACTCTTATTTGGTTATAGTGCTTTCCCTTCTTACATGATAGCTTTTTATTTAAGAACACAGCATTTCTTCTTCACATGCTGTACCTCTCCTCTGAATAAAAATGCCTTTACATGTGGGAAATTTTTTTCATTTTGACAAGCATTTTGAAGTATCTAACTGATTCCACTTACCATTCATATATTCAAGTTTTAAGTACTTCATCATTGCTCAGTAGTAGTACTTGTAGTTAATTGTCATAGCCCTGAGGAATGGGCTTTTAAAATACCTTAAGCATATTATTGTTAGTAATTGTTTTGTTCACGTAGTGTAAGTGGAATAAAACATGGTCACTCCCATGTAGTCACTATTTCCTGTTCAGGTGTCCATTAGGTTCTCATTCGTGAGAGCAGGATCTAGAGTGAATTGTTGTGAACTACCTAAAATGTATTTTGCTAAAAAATTATTTCATAATCTTTGGAAAATTCCTGTGTATTTTAAGTACAATGATACAAATAGAATGTGTCATCAGTCTGAGAATTCTGTCTCTCTTGCAGTGTTTCTTTTGAAGTATCCCCTAAAGTATGTAAAAAAACTATCAGCTTTTCCCCTCACTAAACTTACTGGATCTATCAAATGGGAGGATTTAGGAAGAGGGAGAAAGGTGTAGTAAAACTAAATGGAAATTGATTTATTCAAGAGTCCCATTGGAAAGTATTACCTCCTACTTTTACACAATTCTAAAATCTCATTTGTGGGTTTGTGTATTCGTGAGGATGTGGTAATTTTAGGTACATATTTCCTCCATTTTCCACTTTGAATAAGAGTTGTCTGTATGGTTTAATGTGACTAAATTCATACAAGCAGAGAAGAATGGTTTTGCCTGAGCTTTGATCAAGTCTTTTCCAGGACATTGAGAAATCAACATTATTTATAAAACAAAAAGCAATTTAGTAATAAATTTTTTTTAGTGTCATTCCTAAGAGAATAGCAACAGGATATGAGGTATCGAAACTTTGTTTGAATGGATATGTCTGGTTGGTTTTGATATATTGGGCTAGTACTATGGATTTTTCTGACAAATGCATGAATCTCTTTTAGGATAATAAAGTTAAAACATGGCAAATACAGGCAACCTCATGTATTATTAAATTATTTGAATGCAGAAGTTTCCTCTTACAACTTGCCAGTGAAAGAAAAAAATCAAAATAACAGCAAAACTGAAATTTCTATATTAATACATTGCAGATTGATGTCTTCTCTTGACACTACTTGTATTATGTTGAAAGTCTGATTTTCTTACCCTTGTGGTAATAACTTTTCTGTTTTTTCAAAATAATGTTTTTATTTTGAAATATTTAATTGTAGGATGAATTTTCTTCTGAGACATGCATTTTATGTAGATGTCTGAATACTCAATAGAGTAGTTAAAATCTTAAAGGCTAGTGAAAGGACTTTCCAATGTATAGTCAATCCATATCACCCAGCTTATTGCTGGGAGTCAGATGCAGAAAATTCACTTAAACTATATATGTTTAGGAAATTTTCTGCCCAAAATTTCTTTGTTACATTGGTGTCTATCCAGAGTAACAAATAATTTCAAAAGTTAGAGAGAGATGAGTAACTTCCAGTTCAATTGCCATATTCTCAGTCATATTAGAGATAAATAATGATTAAGACTTTGGTGTGTTGCAATGGTTTTACTTTCTATTGTAAAAATTATATGTTGACATTTCAGTTCAGAAGCTATTCCTGATTAAGTGCAATGCTATAGAATTATTCCTCTTGTGTGATTTTCATGTCTGCATTGTAATACTGATTAATCCAGTATTAAAAAAGTACCCTTAGTATTGAGTACCTTGTTGTTCTTTGTGTGTGTCACTGGTCCTGCCATGAACTCTATCTGCAAAGCGCTCATTTCAGGATTGCTAGTCCATGGGGGTTTTTTTCCATCTGTCCATGTGGTTTTTTTTCTTCCTCCACTTTCTAGAAAGTCACTTAAATATTGTAGTTTTTACTCTTGTAGAGAGGAGAGATATGTTACAAGTAACTGTTTCTTTAGTGTTCCTTAGGTACAGTAAGACTAGAGGTTGGAAGAATAAAAGCTGGGCCATTTCACTCTGAAAGGAGAACATCCCAGAGCAGCCAGGTGTGTAACTATAAAACTGGTTAATTTAGGAGAAATAATGTTAAATAAAGGAAGAATAAAGGTAATAAATTATGAAAAAATAAAGAATAAAATAAAGAATAATGTTAAATAGAAAGATCGGTTTTATGATGACAATTATTTTTTACATGCCTGATCTGAGATGGAAAAATTTTGCAGCTCTTCAGTAGCCATTTTATGTTCAATTTAGCAAATTGTATCTGTTATAGACAAGATCCAGCCAAAAATATAATCCAGAAATGACTTTGCTCCAGACTCCAGCTTGGAAGCATAGAGAACTCCAGTTCTAATCAGTACCAGAAGAAGTTAGAATCAACTTTAAACCTGTCTGAGTAGTTGGCATGCAGTGGAGTATTGCTTCAGTAAGCATAGGGAATTTCTCCATTCCTTGCATGTCCTTACTGTAATCTTGCCTGCCAGAAGCAGGAAACGTGCTCTTTCCATCAGACTTCTCTTACTTATTTTATTGTTGGTCTGATGGTGAATTGTTACAATCTCACATCAATTCCTGTATTTGACAGCATCTTCCATGGCATAACAGCTTGCACTGTGATTCTATCCAGTAGGAGCTATGGTTCTGAAAGCTCACAAATTACCTTAATAACTTCCCTTGATTGTGAACTGGGGATGAAAATTATCAAGTATTAAATATAAATAGTTTTAAGACATAATTAAAATTCAAGTGAGCAGTTTAGATAGGACTGACATTTTAGGCTATCTTCAGAATTAGTATTGTTAAGTAGTATGAAAACATGCAGACTCTGGCTGATCTTATTCTAAGATGAAGTTCACAATGTTGAATGTTTTGAAAAGTGTGTCACAGTCAGTGGACTATTCTTACTAGGAACTATGTTGTTCCTTTACTTGCCCTTCAAGTGTAGTGAAAATCATCCTGGAAATTGTGCAGGTCAAGTGGAGTGGAGAGCCTAATCTTAGTTGCAGCTGGTGCAGTAGCTGAACATTTGAAAGCCCTCATGAGGACGTACTGATATCTGTCTTTTGTATTCTGTCCTTACTGTGGTACTTGTAGCTAACTTGCAGTAGAAGATCTCTATAAGGTGATAGAAGGTGCAAATACCAGGGCCTTGCTGGCCCTCAGAAGAAGCTTTTCAAAGATTTGCACGGGGTTGTAGAAGTACAATCTCTCTTGGTCTGATGATGCTTCAAAAAAGAGCTATCTACAGTGACCAAAAAATTTGTGTTGTTCTCTGACTCAGTTTTAACTGGGCACAGAAAAAATAAAATACTGCAGAAAATAAAATTAATACAGTGAGTTAGAGTTTTACTTTTAGTACCTGGGTCAGTGAAGCTCATCTCTAATCCCACTCTAACATTGTGTGTAGGTCAGTGAAGGAAGTGGAAGTCTCTCATCATTCAGTTTCCCAGTGTCTGGGTCTGGTGCACCTGAGGTCTTTGAAAGTGGCCTAAAGAGGCATACCAGTAAGTTGTAGAGTTTTTTGGTGCTTTCAGTATTTTATATATGTGAACTGGTAGCCGAGATCTTTCTGTTAAAATGCTATAACTATGTGATGTGATGCTTAAATTTAGAACAAAGTTATTTCTGATCATAGTATTGCTAGAAAATAGTGGGTTTTTTCTATTCCATTTGAGCTTAGCAGTCTTATTCCAAAAATTATTTAAATGGAGAAAATGATTGATTCTTTCACCTACTCTAGAAGTATTTCAATCCAATTATTGCAATGATGGTCACTATCAAAATCAGATTAAAATGTATGTAACAAACAAGCAGAAAGGTAGAATCATCATAGTGATTTGGATGACTTTATTGAAAAAGTTTTCTAGGAATGCTTGTTTAACTTTTTTTTAATCTATCTTAATTCATTTGACAGCAGCTTCTGAAATACAGGGACTAAGAACAGTTGAAATAAAAAAGGTAAGTTGTAGCTTGCAGTGGCATGTATCAGGAATAGGTTGTAGATGTTTTCAGTAGGTGTCTTTACAGAATGAAGTAAGTCTAGGCCTATTCATTGTTTTAGGAAAGGAACAGGACATTAATTTGTCTGTCTTTTCAGTTTGGGACTGTACAATCTGCACTGCCTATATTTTTATGTAAAGTAGTGTGACTTATGGTATCATGTTTTGTGAGTTGTGTTGAAAGTAAAAGAAGGAAGAGATACTGGGACCTAGTTTTATTGTTACCAGATTGAGTTAAATGCAGATTCTGTTGTGGTAAAGTCAGAGGAATTGTACCAAAGTTGGAAGGCTGTTTTTTGATATTTGATATTTTTCTTCACACATATTTTTAATTAGTAGGCTCTTGCATGACAGCTGCCAGGTTTTCAAGTGTGAACTTCAGTCACCTTCATTATGCATGTGTGCTTAGTCACAAACTGCATCTTATTTTCCAAAATATTTATATGTTTTTGCTTGGCATCTAGTTCACTTGATTACACGGATTGTATTCAGTCATTCTTTTAATAGTAGAATCTGCAAATAGCAGTTTGCAATAGCAATTTCTCCAGTGAAGTATTTGGGTGTGGTACAGGGTTTCACAGCTGGTTTCGCCCTTCAACATTTGGGCACTAGGGGGAGCATAAAGATTAATTCTAGTCTTCAGGAGATTCATAACAGGATATTCATATAGACAGTACTAAGGACAGCAATCCCATCTCGTTGGTTTTCCTTGCTCAGACCTCTGTGCTGACATTAAGAGTCAGGTGCTGAATTCTGTAATTATTTAGTTTAGTTATGATAAAAAACACAACTAAATCAGCAAATTTCCTCCTACCACTGAGAGAAGGAAACATCCATTCTGGTCTCTCTGCTTTCTTGAGGTAATGCAAAGTGTGTAAGCTTTAAAACTGGCTTGACACAGGAATTCTAGTCTTCATAAAATAGGGAGTTTAGCTATCTTCTGAGGTAAGCCTGCCGTTCTGTGTTTTTCTTTCCAGAAAAATCTAATCTTTTTTTCACTACTGTAACAGAACCCTACAGATTCACTAGGCGTGAGCATTGCTGGAGGTGTAGGAAGTCCTCTTGGAGATGTTCCCATATTTATTGCCATGATGCACCCGAATGGAGTTGCAGCTCAGACTCAGAAATTAAGAGTAAGTTAATTATTAAGAAGGCTGTAAAGATTGCATGGTTAATGTGATTACTGTAGACAGGCAGTAAACTAGCAGTTCAGTGATACAGTCATAAGTGCTTCTGGCTGTGGAAAGAATTCTTGCTGTTTGGATTGATGAAAAAGGAACTCAGATTGGTAGCATGGGAAAATGTAATTGCTGACATGTGCTAACTTAAGAAAGGAGGTTCTAAAGCAGTCTTGGATCTTAGAGTTAGTCAGCTTGTGAAAATTAAAAGCATAGAAAGTGGTACAGAAGGATGCATTCTATAAACAAGTGCCATTGCTGAGTGTAGTGATCGTTCCTGCAAATGCAGCTGTGCAGTCTGCTTTATCTCTTGTGTTTCCTATGCTTAGGATAGAAAGAGTACATTTTAGGCTCTGACTTAGAGTGAGAGATTTTTAAGCTGTATTTAAATGCATGCTGTATCCAATCTGCACCAAAAGTGGTTGAATTTGGCTCAAGTTTCTTAGAAAATGTTATTTCAAGATGAAGTCAGACCAAATCTCTGATGATAATTTGCTACATCAGTCTGCCTGTCTTTAGGTGACTTGCAAAATGCATCTCTGTTTTTTAACATCTATTTCTAGAGTTTTAGGATCAGTTCTGTAAAGCATCAGTATTTTTTACACTGATTACACTAAACCAGTGTAATTTGCTAATTCTAATGTTGAATTACCTGTCTTCATACTGGGCCATTCGTAGCTCTGCTGTTGTTGAAAGTGGCAAATCTATGTAACTAAGTTAGATTTTCTACATTTTCTTCTGTAGGTTGGGGACAGGATTGTTAGCATCTGTGGAACATCTACTGAGGGCATGACTCATTCCCAAGCTGTTAATATCTTAAAAAATGCTTCAGGCACTATTGAGTTGCAGGTAAAAAATCCTCAGTGACATTTTGAATATTTTCTGAGTACTGTTTTGCCAGCTGCTACATTGAACTATTTTAGTGTCAGCATTCTTATGCCACTGATTTCCAACCTCTATTCCTAGGTTGTAGCTGGAGGAGAAGTGAGTGTCATAACTGGTCAGCAGCAGGATCCACCTACTCCCGGTCTTTCGTTTTCAGGACTAACTTCAACTGGCATTTTTCAGGATGATTTAGGGTCAGTAACTATAGAATGTACAGCCTCTGTAGCCTGTTACTTTAGATAATAATCAACCTATAAACCTTACAAATTCTACCTAATAGTGGGTGGCATTTTTGGCTTAATCATGATTAACACATTTGTTATATCTAAGACCTGTGGGCCATAGGTCCTCTTCTGTGTTTTTCATTATGCAATTTGCTGTGCTGCAAATTTTTTGACTCTCTGTAGACTTGTTATGTGATCTGATTTCTTCTACAGCCTCTATTGTTTCACTGAGGCTGGGTAGCTAGGATTAATTGATATGCCCAGAAATTCTCTTTCCACTGTTGTATCTGTGTTTCTGTATTGTGCTCTCTAGTGCTGGGCAATCAGGAGTCTCAGATATTTCTGGTATACAAGGTATACTGCTCCTGTATTCTGCAAGGTGCATTATGTAAACAAGTTTTGTGTCAAACTCTGTCATAAATCTGAGGCATTTTTTCTTTTAGGAAAGGGGAAAGAGAAGAAGTATTCTTTAGCCACACATACCTACTTTGAAAAGTAGAATTCCAAAATTTCTTACTATCAAAATATATGTGGGGAAATACACCTATAAATGATCTATATAATAAACACATATATACAAATACACAGTTGTCTATTAGGAGAGAAGCAATTCAACCTTAATAGCGTAAACTATTTGAGCTTATTTTAGGCTTTACAGGCTTTTTAAAGTAGATGTTAGGGAATCTGGAGATACTGGTAATAACTCTCTAGTTCACTAGTAACCACTATTGGTGGCACATAGCAGCCATAACTATGCCCTGAGCTGTGTATTTGAAATAGCTACTTTCTTATAATAATATGGGCATTAGGTAGTTTACAGAGTTTTACATTAACTGCAATAGCCCGTTCTTTATAACAAAAGTATTTGTAGTTTTAGTGGAAAGAAAAAAATATTGGTTAGCTTAAAAGGAGTAATGTTTTTTGTTGAATATTAGATGTGTTAAATCTGAAGTTCAGACAAAATACTCTTTTCCCTTTTCTTAGACCTCCTCAGTACAAGACCATTACTCTGGACAGAGGACCAGATGGCCTTGGCTTCAGTATTGTGGGTGGCTATGGCAGTCCCCATGGAGACTTACCCATTTATGTGAAGACAGTGTTTGCAAAGGTAGGTGGAAATTTGTCCAATCAATCCATTTATTAGTTCACTGCAGTTATTGTTCTAAATCTTGGCCTGGGTTTGCAATCAAAAGATTGTTACAGTTTCTCACAGCTTTCCCTCTTTAGTGCAAAGGCTGATGAAAATGTGCTTGCAAGCATTTGATGGCTGTAGTCTTCAAAAGATTGAGGATTTCCAAATAGACATGATTCAGCCCTATCAGCAGAGTCTTGTCCACCTGTCAAGACTTGAATTGTGTAATACTTAGGAAGAAAAGCTCCCTTGCCTTATATTTAGAGTGTGTTTACTTCAGGTAGTAGACGAAAGTGTTTTATTGAACTCAGACTGGACGTTCAGAGAAGTTCAGATGCTGACCTGGATTTGATAATTTGGATGGCTCTAGGAAACAACAGAGAGTCAGAGAAAATTGGAATCGTGAATGCTAAATTTTTAAGGTATATGAAACTATAAAGCTGTCTTTTTCACCTGCACTTGGTGAAAAGTTCTGCAGGTCTTGAAAATGTTACTTTTATAATACTAGGGTTTAAATCTTACACTAGCTGGAAAAACAGGGTTGAGGGAACCAAACAATCATGTAGTTCCAATTTCTAGATGTGGAACTTAGACTGGGAAGGGAGTATTGCAAAATTGTCAGTCTTCTCAGCAATTGGTTCTGTCTGTATCCCTGAAAATGAAAAATATTGGAGGACTGTTTTCAGGACTGTGTGTCAGGGAGAAAAAGAAATGTGTGAGTCTGCAGTTACTTGTTTTATCATTCCAGGGTGCAGCAGCAGAAGATGGACGCCTCAAGAGGGGGGATCAAATCATTGCTGTGAATGGGCAGAGTTTAGAAGGGGTGACCCATGAGGAAGCAGTTGCTATTCTGAAAAGGACAAAAGGAACAGTCACTTTGACTGTGTTGTCATGAACTGGCTGCCTGACAGGCTAGGGTCAATAAGACAATATTGTTTACTTTCCACATAGTAAAGAGAATGGAAATGTTTGAGTAGTCTTCTTACTCTTTCAGCTTCACAGGACTGTGTTACAACACTGAAGAAAAATAACATTTAACCATATTTTTGTATACATTAGAAGTACTTCTCTTCCTGTCAAACCACTGGAATGAAATTATGTTCACAATGGAAACACAGGGATATTTTTCCTATTAGTAATTCACCACGAAAAAAATGTTGCCATTAATAACCACACAAGAAAGTTGAAAAGCAGAGGCTGTATATTTGAATAATGTTGGAAAAATGATAAATTCACCAAGTCAGCATGGAGGTTGCAGGTGTAGCAGTAGCCAGAAAACAGGAACAAGGTTATTGAAGAAAGAAAATATTACTAAATCAGAGATTTGGGAGATAAGGGGAAATGTATGTAATCTGGAGACAGATGGTTAATAGACTAGATGGTTCTTTGGAACTAGACAATTTTTGAGATTCCTTTCAACCCAGACTGTCCAATGACCATATTATTTCACAATGCTCAATAGGAGAAACTAGTTTGGTGACCTGGGTGGATTTTTTTGCTTGCCTTTTTGTGTGTTTAAATTTTTCTAAGTCGTGGTGTATCTGAAAAAAAAAAAAAAGAACACTGTGTTTCACTTGGCTTAGGTTTGAGGGTTTCATTATTTTGGTGTCAGGGAGGTGTGGTGGTGGTGGTGGTGATGGTTTTGTTTTTTGTTTCTTTGTTTTGTTTGTGGGTTTTGTGGGACTTGTGCTCAGGGCTGAAAAATCCATTACTAGTGGAAACTTCCTGGTGATTGAGAATGCCCAGCAACTGCAGTATTAGAAGAACTATATTTTTAAAGTAGGAATATTTTATAGTCCTTATGGGTGAAAACAAATTTTCTAATATGAAGTTTTTTGTCTGTAAGCAAAGGTTGTCCTCTTCCAACATGCTACACCACGTACAGGGTCAGTGCAGACATTTCTGCAAGCTGTTTGCTTCAGAGCCTTGAACAAACCTCTCAGAGCAGCTCTGCTTAGCTGCCAGCAGATGTCTAGATATTGCCAGTGTGGAAGGAGTTGACATTAATGGTGTTGCTGCCATTATCACTAGCAGCAAAGGTAGAGTCCTCCTTGAACTGAGGAGGCATACAGCCAGGAGTGATGGGTTGAGGTTGGGTAAAGACCTGAAAATGCCTCACAGTGGAGGTGAGTTGTAAGACAGTAGTGAGGGTTTGCATCAGTAATAAGCAGAAGAGGAGCTTTGACAGCTACAACTATTATTTTGGGGATATTAATTTTAGAGGCACAGATAAAAGCATCTAGTAAGTATAGTGCAACTGTGGAGCTTTCTTTGATCAGCAGCATGGTCAATAAATGCATCACTTTCTCATTACTTAAACTTTATCTAAAAACTGCACTCAATGAAACACTTAGCTGATTGTAACCTGCCTGCCCTTGCCTGCCATGCTCTTAGGAAGCTGGCAGATAAAGCATGCTTCTCCCATGATTTATTTTCCTGCAGAAAAATTTAGCTGAGTCTTTTGAGAGAGGAAGATACCAGTCAAACTAGTATGCTATTTAGCTGGAGGATGCTTTGTGTTAATTAACAAAAATGGAATTTTAGCAAGAAGGCCATTATTTCAACTATCACTTACGAGAAATATGAACTGAAAATGCAGGCAATGGTCAGGCCATTATTAGGGGATAATACAAAAGACTAGCATTCATTTTAGTGGGTCACAAAAGCAGTATTAGGAGTGTCTGTCAAATAGTGTTAACAAATTGATAGCTATGTGTAAGTGAATTAACAAAAAAAACCCTGCTCTTTGTCTTTTTAACTATTCTAGAAGTTATATTGTGGTAGGCTAAGATGCAATAAACTAGATGGTGCCATTGCTGGATGCTGCTGTTATTGAATTGCTTTTGTACTTATTCCTTGCATAGAGTGAGAAATGCCTACATTAGAGTATGTAAAGTCACTTTAAATAGTATCTATATTTGTAACAGAAGTAGTGTACAGCTATTTTGTTACTGCTCTTGTGTCACAATGGGGGATTTAAATTAATAAATTTCAAACTGTCATGATGAAGTGAAGTTCTGGCTTTTTTACTAGTTGCTTTACAATAGCATGTTTTTATTATTCATTCTGTTGCAAAAGATTAATTCAAATCAATTTAATAGTTGAAAAAAGGCATTACTCTTGATGTAAACCTTAAAGCATCTTCTAAAAATTGATTTTTTTTTAAAGAAGTTATCTTCACTTGCAAACTCTCAGCAAATTCATGAAACTGTGAAGCTGTCTTGCTTTTTTGTAACAGACCGTTAATCATTGTTAAAAAAACCATTCCTTCAGGCATGGGATGTGCCATGAGGGACAAAAATAGTGGGCCATGGAGCTTGGGGCTCAGAGAACGGGCTCTCCCCCAGGCCCCTTGCCAGGAAATTGTTGCATGACAACTGCTTAGTGGCTGCCATGCATCGGACCATGTAGTAATAGACTTTTCAAGCTTAGGATGTTTGGTTTTCTTTATCATTTCATATTCAATGCAACTTTCCAGTCACAGGAGTTAGTCCTCTAAGGTGCTAGATACTGTGGGCCAGTTCTGCCAAGTTTTATGGTTTTGGTTACGTTTTTTCCATGTCACCATGTTACAGGTTTGGAAGGGTCTGGCACCTTAAAGGCCCCATCCCATTGTCTGGGCAGATACCCAGCCCTTTTTTTAAATTCTCAACTATGTATTGCTGAGGGGTAATCAGAGTGGTATTAATGAAAAGCTCTTTAATTTTAGAGTGGTATTAATGAAAGGGACTGTCACTTTTTGAAAGCATGAGTCTGAACAAAGGACAGCTGATTCATAGGAATGCACATATTTCATTTCTTGACAGTGACCATGTATTGTTGGCATGGCTGCTTTTCTGTTCATTCTTCTGTTAGATTTTATTTCTGGGTTAGCTTTATGGTAGCAGTAGTATTGTTAATTCTCAGCTGAGAGAAGGGTTGGAATTTAATAGCTATTGCTGATCCCCTTTCCTTCAGTCTATTCAGTCTTTTTTATAAGGAAAAAAAAAGACACTGTATATTCTATAGACCTAGAAGAAGAAGAGAGTGTCATCCTTGTTGTTAAGCGTCAGGATGTTTTGTTTTGGTGACAGAGACTTGCAAGTAATGTGGAAGTACTTAGGTCATTTAATAGTGATTTGCAAAGAAAGCCTTACCTCAGAATGGGAGTGACACTGGAAAGGGGCATTTGTTAGATTTCTACACACACTTTTTCTTGCTTTTTAAAAACAAATAGTTTGAAGCATCTAAAATATTCCTGTGAAGAGGGCACTTCTCTTTTAAGCTCCAACTGAAGCTACTTAGAATAAAGTTTTCACATTCTTTACAAATTTTATTAAAATGGTAAACATTTTTAATAGTAAACAGTATTTTCCTGTTTTGAATACGGAAGATATTCAATACCTGCAGTGTGGATTTTTTGTAACTGGTCATCATGCATGCTTCTCAACAGACATGTAGATCTTTAATATAATGTGTTTTAGTCCATAGCTGGTGTTGCAGGGTAATGCATTTACTTGGGAAGTTTGGCCACCTGTATTCATGGAAGTGGCAACCATGGCAGGTAAGAAGATCCAATTCAAACACTTGAGAAGAATACACCTAGTAGAAAATGATGCCCAAGTAGATTGAGGTTCCTGTGTTCTTATTCTCCTGACATAAAATCTTCCTAAGCTTTCTACTCTGTGTGAAAATGATTGTTTGAAATGGGTGGAAAAAACGTAGATACTTCTTCTCATGTCTCAGTAGAAAGGAGATTAAATTCTGGTAAGATATTAATTCTAAAAGCTGCATATGCCTGAGCTGAAAACAACAGAGTTTTCCAAACTAAATTATTAGTTTGCAGCCGAAGATATTTTTCTTTAGTTACAGCAGCAAGTTGGTTTGTGAAAGTGAGCCAAGCAGGTTTTCACTTACTATTTCACTTCAGACTACTTTCTGTTCGGTCCATTGTTTTTGATCTTCATATAGGTGGCTTAAATGCATAAATTACCTAATAAATATTTTTTTTATTACATCAAACGAGTGTTGGAATCACATATAAAAACAGGTAAGTTGTTTTTGTGATTGCCAGTACTACGTGGGTTTTTAAGTGCTTGCAATTAGATGTCCGGTTTGTCCATAGGCAGACAAGAGAAAGCTTTTTATTTAAGAGGGGAGGCTTTGAATTTGTTAACAGTTGTTAGTATTTTCTGGTATTTCAGCATTTGGTATTTTATTAGTTACGATTGCACTTCATTAAGTGAATTCAGTTTAATTAAAACTATGCTTTGACTGACCAAGGTAGATGTTATACCTAAAAGAGAGTGAGTGCTCTTCTCGAGTATTTCTGTGGGATGTCGGTTGACTTTTTGAGTTCTGTGCAGCACTGTTCAACAACAGAGTGTCAGTTTGGTGTGTTGTCATAGCATTTTGTTCATGCTCCTCACTGTCCACAGCCACAGAATGATGCCGGGACTCAGAGAACTGAGGGCATGGGGTACATTTAAATGATGCATTATCGGATTGCCACTACTGTACACCAGTTAGAGGTAAAGAAGTTTCTTGTTTGGACACCTCACACAAGCACTTAAACTGAGGCACATGAAAGGTCTTTTCAGGCTGTAACTTCGAAATGCCTTGTCATCACAGGGATGCCAAAGCCACTGTGTCCAACAGTTCAAGGTTTCACATTGTTGGGAATTTTACAAAAGCATTGGGAGCAGCACCTTGGGTAGTTAATAGGTAATAAGCTGTACTCTCTTTTTAGGGGAATATTTATCAAAAACTGTCAAAAACATATGCAGTTTGTTTTGACTAAAAAAAATGTATTCATTACTTGTTGTTAAATGTGAATGTCTGTTGGAAGCAGAAAGACCAGTATTGCAAATGAGAGAGAGAGGGAGAGAGAAAGAGATATAGATAGATAGATAGATAGATAGATAGATAGATAGATAGATAGATAGATAGATAGATAGCCAGCCCTCAATACAGTCATAACTGTTAAGACAGCAGATGTTCACTGGAATTCCTGTTTGTGACAGACCACTGAAGATAGGTGATAGTAAAAGATTGTCATATGGGAAAAGCATTAACCTTTGTTACTGTCACCAACACCAGAAGAAGCATAAAAATGCTAGTATTCATATTTACCTCATAATATATTTACTTCATACCCTTTTTAAGCAAATACATAAGGAAAAGTACTGCACTTGAATTTATTGTTAATGTAGACCTAGAGGTTGTTCTAACTAAGTATGTATGTTGATTATTTCACAAAAATGTTTATGACACACTCTCATGATGAGACTTTTACACCCTCTTTCACAACACTGAATGACAGCAGTGATTGCCTTTTTGCAAAATTAACAGAACCTTTGCAATAAGGACAAATCTGGGCAGGAAGGAGAATTGCTTAAGACAAGGTAGGAACCTCCTGGTCTGAGCTGATTTTCCTACTGTGACTGAGCATGCTCTCTTTAATCTGTGCCTTATCTTCCTAGGAACAATTGGGCTTTTGTTTGTTTCAAATTGAAGCTGACCATCGGAATTCTATGTATACAGTCTCCCTCTGAAAAAAAGCTTTTTTTCTATTGTAGTTGCTAGAGCAGGAAGAAAAAGAATACAACTGGACCTTTGCTTTAAGTGCAGATTTATGGAATATTAACATTTAGTAGAAATAGCTCATTAGCAGTTTGTTTGCTGCAAGATGTTCTCTACTTTCCACTCTAAGTCAGAGTCTCTTCAAAGCATGCTATTATGCCAGCAGCCAAACCATTCTTGTCTGCACTTCTCCTGCTCCCATTTCTTTTGATTGAAGTGTGTGCATTGGGCTGGGGTGGGGGGGGGAGAAAATTATGTGTGAGGGGAGGATGTCAAAGGCTCTGTGTGTGCTCGTGCACGTGTATGCATGTGTATATCTGGGAATAGTACTGTGTAAGTACTATTGGCCTGCAGATACTTCCTGCCAGATATGTTAGGGTTTTTTTCCTACAGAAGAAATTTAAATTGGTACTCTAATCCTATTTAATATATATACATTCTCAAAGGATTTTTAGAAAGAGAATAAATATCTATTTTAATGTCAGAAAGAAACTGCAGCAGAGGCATTATCTGTTTTTTCTTTGTGATTCCCAGTGGACCTTTTTCTAATGTGAATGCACATCTTTCTGTTAGTCTGGTAAGTTTAACAATGGAACACATTCCAGGTTCTGCTTTCAGGACAATGAAGTCCTATTTGAAGCTGAGAAATGTTTGGGTCTGGGATATGGATGCTGTGTTTCTGGGGCAAAAATCACCTCATGAAGTAGGAATACACTTCATAGTTCCTCACTCATAGAAACCCTCTGTTTAGGCCCATGTTGAAGACCTCACATTCATAGGATTGTTCCTTTTTTATACAGGAATTATACTCAATTTTAATTTACTGATAGCTTGAACTCAATGTACATATATTATGGACTCTCACTTGAGTGTAAACCTTGAATCTGTTGGCCAAGCTAACAAATCTCTGATCGAGCCAGAAGTGGCAACCTGAATTGTGTTGGTTTCATTCTAAATGTCAAGGAGGAGGTGAACCAAACATAAATGCTGGGCAGCCAGCAGCAAGGAGACAAAGGTATTTACTGACATCTGGCAGCCTGTGTAGTCTCTCTGTTTTGAAAGAGGGCTGCAACTGCCATAGTACAAACATCCAATTCAAAAGTGACTTAACAGGAGAGGGGTAAGTTAAATTAAGGGGTAGCAGGAGAGGGGAAGTGCTCACTTATTTAAGGACAAATAGGCATGGAGATGACTCCATGAGTGTTCCTCTTGTATTACAAAACCAATAAGCAAGGTGTTCATGCAGTCAGTGGCTGGTTTCAGCTTGTGCACCTAGCCTGGGAGCTCCAGGTGCTGAAGCTTTGTGGGAGAGGCTATTTGGCTCTGCTGCACAGCCCCATAGGTGTACTTTGAAGTCAGACTAGCCCCATAAGGAGGACCTAGATTGGTTGATAAAAGCTGACTTGTATTTTGCTACATTTATACACATTAATAATTTTCAGTAATAG